CCAAGTACTTGGTATCCAATATTTGAGTTGTTAAATTGCCATGATGAGTTGATTAAGAATCTGTGTTAGCAGCCATTCAGGAAGGCATGATTTCAGTTAATACCAGAACAGTGAAAGATCTGACCAGGTTCTGCCTAAATAATGAAAAACACCTGGTTATTAGTGCCATGATTGAAGGCAGGCTATCTTCATGAATGAAGCTGTCTGGAGAATGAGATTCTCCAATGACAATCAGAGGGCCAGTTCAGGGAAACCAGGAAACTGTCTCAGTGCGGGGCAGGTCATGTCTTGAAAGACAGCAGGGTACCATACCAGCGAAGGACTCTCACATCAGTCTGATCCATTTGTGTAATTACTTTCAGACTGCAGTGGCTAAGGCACAAAACATTCAAGGAAGAAATAACCCCGTGCATCAGCAGAGCAACTAGAGCTTGCTGTCTGCATGAAAATGATTGGAATGATCATGGATCGTTGAGAGACTGTATTCCCATCTTTTGCATCACAAGAACATCTAAAATGGCAGCAGAGGGAGTGGTAGGCTGTTTAATTTGCCAGTGAATGCTGTTTGCAGACCCAGTGGAAGATGTCATTAGTAGGGATGTTGCACTTGTATGGGTGTGTTCCACAATAGGTGGTGAAGGTGTGGTGTCAGGCACAAGATTTACCACAACTTCTCAGTGATGCAAAGGTGAAGTCCTTTCTCTGCTCGTGCCAGCCACTGTGAAAGTGTTGGTGTTTGAGAAGGACAGTGCAGGACAGCACAGGGCTAGGACTACAATGGCATGATTTCAAGAAAACATTGTTGAGATCATTCCATGCCTGCTGTTTTACCTGGCCAGAGACCATTATCATTTGTGGGGAACAACTAAGCTGGCTCTCATGACTGCCGGGGGTTGTGTTCATGCTCAAGAAGTTCGCATTTCAGCATTGTGTTACATTGACATGGTTCTGTTTTTTATAGTTGCTTGTTTTGTGGGTTAAATCCTTTAGATGTGAATGTTGATTTCTTTTGTGCGTTGGTATGATACACAGTTTGTCAGTGCCAGGAGGTGGGCTCCAATCCCAGAAACTGTAATTGGGGATCTTGTCCACACAATAGGTAAGCATGCCATTTCCAAAAGCAATGGGAGCTGGGCCTAACTGCCCTCATGTTTGCCAGGTTAGGGCAAACCTGTGAATGGGTTGGCAAGTTGTTTCGGATCACAAGCCACTGAATCTACAGCACTGTTTGTGCTGGGGTCAGAAATGTCTTTAGGAGCAGCTAGTCTTAAAGGAAAGACGTGGGTTACACTAAGTTTGTATATGTTAACATATCTCATTTCTAAGCGTATTTGTACATATTATAATTTCTTTAAGAAGTGCTTAAATTATTTTTGACAGTTTTCAAAGAAAAAGGATGTGTCCACAGGCTACTGCAAAAGGTAGTCTCGCACCTTTTAAAGTTTAAATAAAGGATTGGGTTGCAAACACAAAATGTTAAGGAGTAAAACACCTTTGCTGGCTGAATAGACTCTCGTCTCCGATCTTGTTTACATTTTCACTTTGAAATCAGACTAATCTTCTCACCTGGTTGTCCCAGCCACCATATAGAACCAAGCAAACAGAGCTGTCCCACACAGAGATAAGTCACTGTCTGAGAAGTTCTCAAAGTTGCCCTTTGGTTCTCTTGTAATATCAGAATCCTTCACAGCTTGACTAGATTAAAAAGTGCATGGAGTCTTATTGAAGTTTTAACCAGCTCAGGATGGATTGTGCTTTATGCATTACCAGCCTGATCCCTTTACCAGTTTCTACGGCAGTTGTAATACAAGAAGAGTGTTTTTTCTATGTCTTGCGGAAGAGGAAAGATATACAATTAAGTGAAGTCAGAGACTCCATATGTCTTGAACCGGCCTGTCTTAGATGGCCAATTTCAAAATGAGCATTTTTGTTTCTGGATTCACCTTCTGAATTTTAAGGAACTGAAATGTAATATTTTTTCCTTGAAAATCACAGACCCTTAGTAGTGGGGACTAAATAGTCTTGAGCTTTAGGATCTTTGAGGACTGTGAAATGGTCTAAATCAATCATTTGGGATCTCTTTGATGTTGACACCAATCACATCTTATAGAGTCGCACATTCATTGCATTGTTACAGGCAGGGCTAAAGGGAAAAAAACTCATTTTTCTGCTCCCATGCATCTATACGTAAGAGTGTGAGTTTGTGTTTATACGGATAAACTGGAAACCATATATTGTGCATAAGAAAGTGAATATACTTTTGTATAGTAATGGGAGACCAAGTAGTGGAAAATTCTCAGAGAAAAGTATTCTCAGTGCCTCTGTTGAAGTTTTAGATTTGGTCTTCTCAACATGTAATTTCATTCTCCAGCACACTCATCTGTACATGATTTCCAGCAGGTTTATGTCTGTGGAGTGAGACAGCACATTTCACGCGTGTTTCAGCTTTCCAGGAATACCAGGGTACAGCACTCAAACAGTTGGTGGCCTGAACAGGAAGAAATGACAATGAGAGGAAGGGGCCCCTTTTCACCGAGCCTTAATTCATGGCTTGCCAGTAGGAAGACTCAGACGAAAGTAGCTCTCACTCCTGTGCGGGACATTCATATCAATATCTTTGTACTTTTGTGTTTGGCAGATACCTCTTCAGCTCGTCAGGGATTTATATATAGCACTGTGCCTGCAGGCGGCACTGTTGTCCAGGCTGACGTATTTAAACACAGCAGTAATGGACACTTACTCTAGAGTAAACAGTGTGATATTAAGAATAAAAGGGTATTGAAAGGTAACATTGCCTTTAATGTTCCTGTGTGTAGCGGTTCAGCTTTTTACTTTTTTTTTTAGTTTAGTGTCTTGATGGCAGGCTTTAGAGTTATAACTTGTACATACAATGTTGAGCTTTGTTCTTTCATTCTCTCTTTGTTTACAAATGAACTTTCTTAGAGCTGTTTACATTGCGCCAGCGTAGATGGGAGAAGTAAATACAGAAATACAGTTGCTAAGTCAAATCAATATTAGTTTAGCTAAAAAAAACACCTAGTTAGTTTGCACACATTACTTCATTTCTCATCAGTGTGAAAAAGGTAATGCAGGTGACATATATTTAAACCAGGCTAGCCAGCATTTACCAAAGCTTTCTGACTGATTTGAGAATTTTTTTTTTCATAGCATTAATGTCATTCAAAAACAGCTATCCACTGTTCACATTTGTCTTAGGATTTCAAATGGTTATGAAAGCCTTCTTAGCAGCAGCTGAAGAATTTCTAACCTCTATTGGTCTTTTGCGTGAGTGTATTCAAAAGGAAAACCCATATAAACCCATGATATGACCGTGAGTCAAGTGTACAATGACTTTGCACTGGAGGAAGGACCAGAATCAGTCATTAGGTGTTATTCCTTGAAACATTATTTGCAGGTGTCCTGCCCTGACTCAAAGACAGAATTCTAAAATATAAACTGGTTTCATCTAGATTTAGATAGCTGAGACACTGGGTTGAAGAAAGCATTCGTTAAACACCCTGACTGATTGGCTTCCCTGACATCACTGATCGTGGCTTTGTGTATTGATACGGAGCTGATCGTGGCGCTATTGCTATTTCTTTAATGCGAGTGTTAAGATCAGTGCTCACCACGGCGGAATGCCATGTTAGTGCAGGTTACAGAGGAACCAGCTTTCACATGGAAAGAAGCAGAGCCCACTCTTATGTGTACAAACCAGACAGCACAAGTGGAAACTAAGCAGTATTTCAAACCATGAACAGGAGGCATTTCTTTGCCCAAAGGGTTGTGGGAGAATGGAACAGGCTACCCTTGTGGTTGAGGCTGATACCCTGGCATCCTTCTACAAATGGCTGGATCCTCATATCAATGAGCTATTAACTACCAAAATGGCCCAAGGGGGCTGTCTGGCTTCTTCTCATTGTTACCATCCTTACATTATGTGACTCGTGAGTGTCTTTAAAACAAGTTGAATGGTTTTTACTGACTGTTACGGTTGGTTGTTGCCACTTTTTAACATACAGGAATGAACTTTACAACATGTAAATGTCTTATCCTGTGAAATCAAACCCCCAAGGCATGCCGGCCAGTAGAATTACTTGAAGCTTGGGTGCACTGTGCACAAAAACGGGTGTAACCAAAAATGAGACGGGGTGCTCTGTTGTAAGCTGATGTAGAAATACGAGCACAAGCAGGATGTAAAATGGATTGCTTAAGAGTCCTAATATTCATGTGAGCTCCCGACATTCAGGGAGTATTTAGTCCCTTTTGTCAATCTGAGGTCCTGAGGGTGTCTACTGTCCCAAGAGAAACTGGCACTTGAGCTGTTTACTGAAAATTCAAGAACCTTTCTATTAATGGCAAACTTTACTGCAGAGTTGTTTTCTGATGTCCCTCTCCTTTCTGCGAATGCTGTAAATTTGTTTGAGAGGGAGGTCATATCCATGCACTGCAGAGTTCAGTGGATAAGTGGATAAGGCCCTGCGTCTTAAAACCCTCACATGCTTCCAGAAAGTGTTTTCTATTAATTCCTTTCACAATAAGTCTGCAGGCCCAGGTTCTACAGCCCACAGATAAGGCTGAACTCATGTCATGAAGTTACACATTGCAAAACAGTGTGAGCAACCAGCTTGTGCAACAGTGCATCTTGCAGATCCGTGCCAGGACGATGTGTAGGTACCCGATATGATGTAGTGCGATGGCATGCAGTTTCCTTGATTTTTGCAGTTTGTGAACTTATAAACCGCCAAGAATGTTTTTGTTCTTGCATGGGTTTTGGTGCCATTTTGGTTGCCCTCTGCGTGACGTAGTGGCATGGAGGGGCGAATCGTTTCCGAAGTGCTCAGAGGGCAGAGAGAGTAGGTCAGAAACGGAACATGTTGGCACAGGGGAGGGTAGGGGTGTGGGGTTCCCTCTGGGAGGACTGGGCGAGCGTCAGGTGTGAGTGGGGTGGGCGTGTTTCTCCTCCTGCTTGACCTGGGACCCGTGCGCCTGTGTTGCAGCAGCGGGCTGGCAGTCGACCGAAGGGGAAGATGGGCGCTTCGACGGCCGTCAAGCTTGCCGCCAACCGGGCGACTGCGGGGGCGCGCCGGAGGAGGACGCGCTGCCGCAAGTGCGAGGCCTGCCTGCGGACGGAGTGCGGGGAGTGCCACTTCTGCAAGGACATGAAGAAGTTCGGGGGCCCAGGCAGGATGAAGCAGTCCTGCATCATGCGGCAGTGCATTGCGGTGAGTCGGCCCAGTCTGGTTCCCTGCAGCTTCCAGTTAACCTCCCAGCCCTCCACACGTATGATGGCTCGTTGGCGTTCAGATTAGAAATGCTTGGGACGCTTGAAAGGTCTTTAGACACCTACCAACTATTTCAGCATGATCGGTTGTATCAAGACAGTTACATACAATTGAACTGGTCTTATACATCTGCTTCGTTTTGGAAGTCTTCATCTCCAAGACTCGATTGGGCTGATTGCACTCAACTCTTTTTGTAATGATCTTTTAAGCAAATATGCACTCTAGGTTAATTTAGCCTCTGGAGAAAGAGTAAAAAAAAAAACCCACTGCATGAAAAGGTAGAATCTTACCCGTTGTTCTGGAATCCCCCTGTCACTGAAGCAGCACTTGTGGTGGGGGTGGGGTGAGCTTTGTAAAAATTAACTTCACACTCAAGCTAAATCAGGAAGTAATCAGCAGTTTAGATCATGTGGGTGTGTGTGTGTTCTTACTTATGCAAAACATTTCATGGTCAATGTCTGTGTGGGTCACTGCTTGGTGAGATTTCTGTCTTCGGCTCTGCATAGACCATTGATCTCTGCCATTCTGGTCAAAAGGTAATGTTCTTAAAAGAAAGCGACCCCATAATTGGGTTTGTATTTCTTGGCTGGCGATGGCCTCTGATTTCTGGAGGCCTTTACTTTAATTTCTTATGAAAAATCTTTATTTTTTTGTTCCCAACTGGATCAGTTGTACTGGAGTTTTTCAATATTTTGAGTGCAGGAGCAAATTAATTTGTCATGGACAGCTGCTTTTCTGTAATATTTTAAAGAAGCAGAGTTTCCTGTTACTAATTGTGGCTGTGGGAACAGTATGTATATCAGGAAGCTAAACACACAGGATGTCAAATACTAGGTGACAACAGTTTGAGACTAACTTTAGTTTATGGGATAAGTATGAGGACATTTGAATGAAAGAACCAAAACTTTTCATATTATTGATAAATACTTCATGATTGTTTTAAGTTTAAAATTCTATAAATTATTGGTTTAGAGAGAATCAGATGTGTAAAAGATAATAGATCTATAAAAGTACTGAAACCTCATATTAAGTTCTGATTTCCCCCATGAGCATGCTTCCCACAGTAAATGAGACACTATGCCAAGCTTTCCCACAGGTGGAAAATATGTTCTACCAATCCCCTATAACCCATGTTTTATTGCTTAATCTACTCAGTTCCCTCCATTCTGTCCTTTTTCTTTCTTTAGATTTCTTCATGAACATAAACTGGCGCAGAGACGGTTGGCTTTAGGGGTAGTGTTTTATAAGTGCCCGTGTGGGACCCCTGTGCTGAGCGTGTGGGTTTCTGTTGTGCTCTGTCCTACAGCCCGTGCTCCCTCACACCGCTGTGTGCCTGGTCTGTGGAGAGGCAGGGAAGGAGGACACACTGGAAGAGGAGAAGGAGAAGTTCAATGTCATGCTGATGGAATGTTCCATCTGTAATGAGATCGTGCATCCTGGCTGTCTTAAGGTGAGATCCCCCTGAGGAGAGAATGCTATACCCCTGAGTCTCAACCTTGTGTGTTGGATTGCTGGATACCACTTGGTTACAAGTGCCACTCTAAAGCTGGGAGTCGATATTTGAATATGCTTGACAAACAAAACTACAGATCTTAAAAATCCTTGCACAGCAAGCAACGGCAGCCAGACATGCCTCCAGGCAATCAAACGCATTTAAGTATGAAAACACCTTTCCTGGACTTACATTCCTTTTGTGTGGAGTCTGGCTGTTCCCCTTGGTGTGTAAGGGTTTTCTCCATGTGATTTGTTTTTCTCAGAGTCCCAAGAGGTATGCTGACTAGGTTAATTGGTGTTGCTAAATTTTTTGTGTTTGTGTTTCAGTGCCCTACAACAGTACGTCATCTAGGGTGTTGTCCCATCTTGTAATCTGTGATCCCAGACTCCATGGTGCCATAACCCTTACCAGGAGTAAAAAAAATAATTCTTACACTTATATAGCTCTTCTCTGGACACTTCAGTCAAGTCAGCAACAATATGATAATGGACAGATGGGATCTGTGCTTGTTTTTACTGATACTCTCAGTTACCTAAAAAAGTTATCTCTATTGCTCACAGCGAGAATGTCCTTGTACAAAATGAAATGAATACCCATTGCTCTTAGTCAAGTGTTAAGAGAATGGGAATCTTTTCAAAATGTTCAAATTTTGTCTTGTGCTCCTGATATTGATCACATACAGTAAAAATGACATCATAGACATCATAGAACACTTTATAAGCATGGGATCCTTGTACGAGTATAAGGCTACAAATATTGAATACTTCGTGTGCGGAATAGTTGATGATACCCTTTTCTGCAATGGATCAGGAATCTCTTATGTATATAGATTTTAGATTCTATATAGTAAATAGTTTTAGATTCACATGCGCTGCCTAATTCTAATAATTGGCAAAGCATGCCCTATCAAGGATTTTAGAAATTCAAAAAAAGTCCAGTGAAAGTTCTAGGAGCTCAGAAAGTCCAAAAAGGCTTTTTAAGGAGGTCAAATTTAGACTTGAAAGGACAACTTTTGGAGTCACAAAATACTGTGTTCTGTACTCTGTGATTAAGCAAAATCAAATAACTTTGTCAGGGTTTTTCTGATTCAATGTCGATCAGAAAATCATTTTGAAATCTCAAGATGGGTAATAAACTGAAAGATGGAAGAAGTGTTTGCTAACAAGGCGGTTATTAGCAAAGGGACAGTTTTTGTTAAAAGTGCAGGCAGAGACAGCATAATTTGGAGCTGCTGTGGTCTCTGCTGTAATCAGTATTACTTTAGTTCTTCTGAAAAGAAAAGATAAGGTAACTATACAGTAGAATAAAACATCCACTTTTTTCATTCCTAATTTAGAAAAGCACATAAAAGGCTCACAGCCTAAACTGACCCCTTTTCTTGCTACTAGTTTAGAAAATACTAATCATGTGGAAGACATAAGGATGACATTTTTGCATTTTTAAATGTTCATGTTGTTAAACTCACAATTAATTTGGGAACTGAGAGGTATGTTTTGACATTGGGACTGAAAGAAATCCTTGTTTAAAAAGTTGGCTGTTGAGTAGATTATAAATTGTAAATACAAGCATGTACTGTTTGCTGAAACCTCAGATGTCTTTTGTGGGTTATCTATTCTTCCTGTAAGACCAAGACTTCAACACTTGTAAGGGTGCTAACACAACAGTTGACAGTTGATTAGCCCTAATTCGTAAAGGGTGGGTAATATTCATCAGTGTTGAGCCTTTTGCAATATGTTTCAGAATCTCCCATGTAAATACGATTGAATTGGGAAATTGCTTTGTTGGCTCCATCCCTACAGAATGTTGGTATAAGGACCACAGATACATTGGGAAACTACTGAATTGTATACAACGGGTAATATATACTGCAGCAATTGTTTAATGTAACCAGTTAGAGACACTACTTAAATCGTCTCTGGGGATTCTGTAGTAATTTAGTTTTTATCAATGGGAATCACTTAATCTATTTCTGCCTCTCATTTTCCTAATCAAAATAAGCTACCAATCACCACTCCAGCAGTCACTGAAGTGCAATCTGAAATCAGTCCACATAATAACTTGTAAATATCTGCCTGACAGGGGTATTATGAATTTGACCAGTTCCATGACAGTTTTTATTTCCATGCCCGATATGTATTTTGAGTATATGAATTAATTTATTTTGACATTTGCAAACTGGTATTGAGCAAGCCGTTTTACATCAGGGGCAATGATTACCTGGAAGAGGGAATCAAATATCCCAGTGTATTAAAAGGCAACAATAAAATCAGTATATAGGTACCTTTGGGCCATCATAGTGATTTTTGAATTGTTAGAATGTGGGTCGATACCTAAAGAATCAAAAATTCAGTGTTTTAATATAAAAGCACATGACATGCCTGCCGGCCTGCAGCATGCCAATGGCCCTCTCCCTTGCTTCTGGTGACATTCGAGGCATTATAGAATGCACAGAAAACTGACTAAGGTGACCTGATCAGGCATTGTTCCACCTGGACCTCGTTGGGTAAAAGTGCACCTAATGAGCTTTTGTATGATTGGCAAGTTGCAATGTCTCACTGCACAAGCTTTATTGCTGGTCAGCGGGCTTAAAACAAATCGACAGCCTTTTGTGAAAGTACATAAGCTGTAACTAGAATATCCTCATCTCAGAAAATGTTGTGTTTCTTTTTTCCCTCAGTATGTATTGGATGTGTGTATTTATATGTACTGTGTGGGTGCAGCAGGTCTAGATAAGGCCTCCATCCTTTCTGAAGCTGGTGCCCTCTCATAGGATGTATGAGTGCATTTATATTTAAGTGCTGCAAAAATATTTGAATATTGTAATACGTACATTTCCATATGTTAAACACTTCAATCATTTTCACAAACTGCAGTGGACAGAAATAACGTGTGTAGTGCCGTTTGCATTGCTGAAAAACGAGTTAGTGCAGAGTGTATAAAGTAAGGGGACAGAGCCCTTACCAGTTAGCCTAATGTGCGCAAATGCTGAAGGACCTACACCTGCTACAGAAGGAATAACCCCTAGCACTTAAAACTAAAGAATAGGAAATCCCAACCCAAATGAAACCCACACAAAATTGCATTAATGGCAGCACTAACGCAGGTCGTTGGTGATTTATTTTGAGCAGATTTTATCCTAGAAAAGATTCCATAAATTGGCTGTTTTTACCACACAGTTAAAGTTTGTGGGGGGTGTGTTGCTTCTCAATGTCCAGCCACCCTCTCCTAACTGAAAGCTAGGATAATAATAAAATGTTTGAGCTGAGAATAATAATTGACATAGAACACCAGTCCAATGCCATGCTCTTAACATCCTGGCATCATGCGGAGAGCAAAAGCTTTACTAAGTTAAACCTTAGGTTACTAAGGTTGTAGGAGGGAGGTCGGGCCTATGACCAGTGTCCACTGCACGATTACCGTGCTCTGAACAAGGAAAATAACGTCAAATTTCATATCTAAACAGAGGGTTATATCCTAGACAAAAGTCTTAAAGCCGTCTTGCTGGGTGCACATGCAGGACTTTATCCGCTCAAGGCTGAAAATGTATTTTTTTAGAAAAATATGGTATTTGAGACCAAACAGGTGGTTTTTCTATTAGACGTTTTGATCTGCTTTGTCTGCAGTGTTACATCAATAAGAATTAAATAGGACCGATGTTAAATTTCCCTACCTATATATATATTAGAAATATACAGTAACTGTGTCTTGGTCATTGTATTTTGTTTTGTTATTGAATTAACTGAGTTGTTTTATGTGGTTAACTACATAGTTCTGTGCTATCACTTTATAGCCCACTGATTTCATTTGCTGCGGATAAAGGTGTTGGCTAAACAATTTTAGTGATGATTCATTCGTAGCGCATGTTAGTTACTCTAAAAGAAGCCGGAGTACAGGGACTGTGGTGTGCTGCCTGCTCAGTAAGGCGGTCTGGGGAGGGAGGTGTTAAACTGCGTTTGACTTCAGGGGGAGTGTAGATTGTGTTACGTTGTTACTTTCAGTTCCCTGTCAGGCCAGAACACAGGATCAGATCAGTTCAGCTTTTTTTCTCCCCTGAGTGCAGTTAAAGCAACTCAAATCACTCACTGTCTCTCCCTCTCAGGTCAAAGATGCAGGAGGGTTGGTGAACGATGAGCTTCCAAACTGCTGGGAATGTCCCAAATGCAACCATGCTGGAAAGACTGGGAAAGTAAGTATCAAGAAGGGTGTGGGATCCCTCTTCCTGAGGGTAAGCTACGAATGGATGGGCAAATAGTGAAGAGATCAAAAGCGCTGAACCATTTTGTTTCCTTACCATCCACAGCTGTCGTAAATGAAGCTCTCCAGGTGCGAAAGCCATTCTGTTCTGTTCAGGCTGGGTTATTTTACATTTCCGTGGAGTTCTGTGGAGAAAATAGTGACTTGCTATTTGAGTGCCGTTGCTTCTCTCTAATTCTGCGAAAGCTGCGATGAACTTGGCCTGCTTAAAGAGTTTGGGTCTGGCCCTTTCTTCAGAGCTCTGACGGGGCTCTTCACGATGGCCACTGGGAGACGTGCGTTGCAAAGGAAAAGAAATACCAGTAGAGCTGATCTCTAATGCTGTTTGTGTTTTTGCATACCTGAAAACGTATCCTATGAAAATTTTATGAAAATGTCTTCCATCGGTCTCGGCCATCATTTGAACCCAGGCTTGTTTTTCCAATCTGACAAGCTGTTCCAAAGAGCTGCACTGTGGCATTAGGTTTTCTGCTTCTTGCTGTGGCAAAGATGAATGACAGCTGTGGTCACAAGGCACACTCCCCAAATATCAAGACAGGCTGGGTAGTTACAGCATGTGTTCCCATTATGCATTGCAAGCTGCAAAGTCTTTTATAATACCCTCTAGACTTTTTTGTGCTTGATCTTGATAAAATATCATTTCCTTGTAATTTGCAGAACATTTTTTGTTATGCAAACTATTAACTGCATGGTGTAACAAAATGGCCAGTGCATTTAAAACAAAATCTAGAAATTGCTCTGAAACCTTCTGCAGCCTGCCTCGGGTGCTGTAAAGGTTTCAAGTCAAATACTTTTTTAATGCAAGTCGACTCTCTTTTGATGTGTAGGAAATGCTTTCTGTTTGATTCATGTTTGCTTTAAATTAACAGTATTAAATTGAACATTTTTGTGACATGAGATATAAAACCACACAAGGAAACAAACATGTAAGTGTTTTAAATGGTAATCACGAGATACTTATCTCATCTTGAAATCAAACAATATTTCTTGCAATCGTTTTCTCTTCCCCTTACTCCTTAGAAATTTGGTAACATGTGGATGACATGTTTTGTGTAGTTAAAGATTAATAACCATCTGCTTACAGATGCAGTGAGATGAGTCTGTAGTCACGCATCATCAGTTAAATCTTGGCTCTTTATTACTGATATATCATTTACTGTATGTTTGCTTACAATCATATTAAGTAACTTCCTCAATAGAAAAGCCAATGGGGATCAGAATTCACTAGATTCTAAACACTTTAAAGGGCTTCTGAGCCTTTGTGTGGGACAGTATTGATGGAAATTAACCCATCTTAGGATCTCCCCCAGCAAAGCTCGAGCCCATGTGTACAGCTGGGTGGGCTGGAGCGATTGGAGGACAGTAGATAAGATAAGATCTATTGGCCATATACAATTTCTTTTTGCATACTCCAACTTGCTCTTCGTGAGACACACAGACAGGGAGAGAAGCTTGGGGTCGGAGCGCAGGGTCAGCCATTTATACGGTGCCCCTGGAGCAGTTGGGGTGAAGATCCTTGCTCAGGGGCCCAACGGAGTAGGATTCCTCTGCCGGCTGCGGGATTTGAGCTGGCAACCTTCCAGCCACAGGCGCAGATGATCCTTAGCTACAGTGCCACTGCTCTGCCCCATACCTGACACAAAGGTGCAGTAGTTTGCCAAACCCATAACCTTCCTGTAATGGGACCAGGGCACTACCCACTGCCCTGTGCTGCCCCTCTCATTTTGGCATAGCCGATTCTGCCCCACCTGGTGTTCCTGCCAGAAACCTGCGTGTGTTCCTCAAAAGCGCGTGCCGGCCGAGCCAGCGGTCATTGCTCATACAGTGCCCACAGCATCGGGGAAGAGGGCTCAACGTGTGCTCCGAGCGAGTGGCTTTACCCAGCCGGCACTTGGGAATATAGATTTTTTTAACTGCATTGTTCCGATAGGCATAAGGTATAAAGTTGTTGTGTTCTTTTTTTTCTTAAATTTTGGCCTACAAGCAAAAAAGAGGACCAGGGTTTAAGTACGCCTCCAACTTGCCAGGGTCCCTGCTGAAGGAGCAGCGCGTCAACCGCGAGGTCAAGGAGGAGGCCGAGCCCGCGGCCGCGGCCAAGAGGAAGGCGGAGCGCGAGGAGAACCCCGGCAAGCGCAAGCCGGAGGAGCCGGCGAAGAAACGGGCGCCGGCCCTGCTCCCGGACGCCCTGCCGCGGCCCGCGCCGGAGGAGACGCCGCTGAGGAAGAAGAGGAAACTCTTCGACAAAGGGGCCGAGCCCAGCACCAGGAAACGGGTATGTACTTCCTCTCTGCGCCGTCTGTTTCTGGGAGCTGGGCCCGAAGGAGGGATTCACGTCTCTGCCATCCATGAAGCCAGCGAATTAGGGATTTAAGGGGGGGGACAAAATCAATACTGTAAGAGTAAAAGGCTGCAGCTTGATGAACCAGGCCTGTAATCATTCAGCCCCCTCGCTGAACTGTAACCACCGGCTGCTTTTGTATTTGCTTTAGGTTTACATCCAGAGGGTTTCATTTTCCCCCTTAGCAGATTTCTCCAATACTGCTTTGGAAAAGTGGGGGTTTAAAAACAATGGGAGACGTAGTTTGGGGCTTATCATACGTTGGGGATTTCTTGAAATAAACGAGACGACCATGGACCGGTCCTCAGACCGAGAAGGGTCTTTCAGCTTTTTCTGCCCCGTCTGAACTGCACTGAAAATTAATCTGGAAAAGGTTTTTTTTTTTTGCTCATCACAGTTGTATAGAAGGCTACCCTCACGTTTTAATGGTTGAACGCAAAATCCAAATCTGCGCCCTTATCTGTATATTTCCTCAGCCATGAGAATCTACCAGAAGATGAAGCCATTGGCAGCTATAGATGTAAGACTTTCTGCAAGTATAGGGACTGAATTAATAATCCTCAACACTCTTCTAGGAGACAGGCATTGTGTTCACTGTTTTTGGGGATGTTTATTCCTCTAATTAACTCCTATGAATTGTATACAGCTAAGTGACAGAATTTCAGTAACCGCTGCACAATGTCTTCTTAATCCCTTCATTACAGCTACACAAGACGTTCTAATGAAATTCAAAACGCGTTTCAGGTACATGCAGAAATGACCCAACGTGTGTTCAAGAGGTCATGCCATTAGTTCTAGCATAATTTCTAGCTCTTGGTACAATACAATGCTACAACAAATACCGTGCCTGCTTATTCACACATTAGGTTATTTGCACAATTCACTATAAAGCATTATGAATTTGATTAGAATGTCGCAAAGTAGCAATTATGAAGGAATAATGAAGACATTATGCACCTCCATTCAAATAAAGTGTGACTGAATTTTCTTGTTTGTAGGTTCCTCTGAAATATTTTTCTCTGGAGAATCGTTTTCAATTTGAGAGTTTTTGATGTTCAAACCCCTCTAAATGCACTGCTCTGCACGGCAATATTCCTGTAACCGAATAGAAAAAGATAACAAAAACAATTATTAGGAGATACACATTTTTGGTATATCACATTGGGGAAAATTCTTTTGATTGGTCTCTCGTAGTTTTATAAACATTGTTTTTGTGAAGAATGAGACTAAAAAGTAATTTTCCCAACTGCAAAAAACAAATGTTTGAGCACCTTTTAATACATATTAAATTCACTTTCTCCAATAACAAGGCTTTTTTGATAACTTTTCCACATGTCATTTGTACTTCTTTTAAAAAGGGTGCTTTCCAAAATATGATTTGAGAGTCTAGTCAGCTTTGAATTGTTGATCTTGGGATCTCAAAATCCAAACAGACAGTTGTCTTGATCTGTGAAGGGTGATTGATTTTGTGTTTTTGTATTGCATTATAGTTCACTGTGAGATTCCTCCCTCGTGACTGGAGAGCTGTCAGTAGTGTCACACTGGAAATTTGGAGGTTTACAGGCCCTCACATGGGAGTGAAATAAACACGGTCCAGTTTGAAGACGGTCTGAATAGCTGTTTGACGCTAAGAATCCGATTGCTTTGGCATTTCTTTGCAAGCCCAGTGCTTAGAGTATTTTTACTCTTAAGAGTAAATTAGAGTATTTTTATCAGAGCACAAAGAAGGTCAGAGTTCTGGCCATCCAGATGAAAGCTGAATGTCACTGTTCTTGTTCCCAGTCTTAGTGGTGAGCACAGCTGATGGAAATGTTCTAGTAAAGCACTGACAGTATTTCAGAGCTTTGTAGAAGGCTGGTTGGCTGTTTTAATGGAAGTAGTTCAGGTGGGTAGCTGCGTCAGCATGCGTAAGCTGCTGAGGAACAAAGAAAACACAACGTTTTGGCTGTGGAGTCTTATTACACCCGAAGAAGGCTTCACAGGCGAAACATTGTGTTTCTTTCGTTTTAAGGCAAGATGTGTCCCCAAATACATCTTCAATGTAAGATAGCAATGCAGAAAATTAACTGAGGAATTGTAATGAAAAATACAATAAACTGCTGGTACAAGTATTTGCAGTATAGCAAGATGAAATAACACATTCTCTTTATCTTTGTCTTGAGTATTTGATATCTGTTTCTTTGTGCTGTAGGAATTCCTGATATGCTAATCAATCGTGTTTCTCTGTCAGTGTTTGCACAAAAAGATTCCCAATGTCAATAATGTGCTTCCTGTGCACATTGCTGACCAGTCAATAGCTCTCTGCAGATTCCAGGTTGCAAGTTATATTGATTTGATATTGGATATGGAATGATCTGCATGGAACCCGTAGCGCTCGATTTCACCTCCTCAGGCCTCCTCCTGTGTGTCGGAAGAGTCCTTCAGCAATGTTGCACTTTCACCATGAGTGAGCCACAATAAGCTGCCCTTGGTTTCTGTGGGTTGGGAAGGGCTCAAAGTTGTAAGAATGAAAATGAATGCCAGCCAGCAGTATGACTGCAGCTCTCTGGAATAACTGAATGGTGAGGGTTTTGGGTTTTGAGGTTTAGCTGTGTTTTGTTGATTTGTTAGGTCTAGAATCTCTCCTTTGTTTGATACGACTTTTAATGCCTGTGAGAGGACAGTAACAAAAGGGAGATTTTTGTCTGGAGTCAGTTCTCTCTCACAATGCCCTGTTTATTATTTCTTCTCAGAATCTTTGCACACAGATCTTTGTTCTTCAACTTGTACATTAACAATATTTATTCTTTTACAGATTTGCCCTTAAAAACTGATTTCTATTGATGTTATTAGAAAGTGCAAATATGTGTTTGGTAGATTTCCTAGGAGACGTAATGGTGAACATAGCAAAGGTGAAAAATGAAGGGACACCTGCCCGTGATCTTCCTTAGGTTGCCAGTACCCTGTTGATCCCAGTATTGTGTCCAGCCATGTTTGATTCATGTTTGAGTCTCTTGGATTCAGCTATCAGGTGTGGTCATGTCTCGTAATTTGTTGTGGATCTCCACAACCTTTTCTGTAAAGAAACACTTCTTATTTTTAGTCCTAAATTCATTCCTCCTTAGGTTCCATTCATGTCCTTGGGTGGTAGTTTCACTGTTACTTATGAAGTAATCCTCTGAGATACTTTGTCTGTACTTCTCAGGATTTCAGTACTTCTATCAGATAGTCTCACCTAAGACTGCAAGAGGTTCCTTTATAGTCGGGAGTCTCCAGTAGGATTACCAGTAAGGACTGTGATCGTGACACCTCTGGGGTGGCTCCCAGGCAGACCAGGTGGCTGGGTTTCTTGCTGCCAGTCACTCAGTCCTTCTCTCCTCCACACAGAGGAAGTCCTGGAAGACGCCAGACGACGCCAAGCCCCTGCTGCAGATCAAGACCGAGCAGGACGAGGAGTTGGAGGAGGAGGAAGAGGAGGATCCGGAGGGAGAAGAGAAGGAGGCCGAGGAGAGGGAGGCGGAGCAGGAGAGAGAGGCGGAGGAGGAGGCGGCGGTAGCGGTGGCGGCGGCGGCGGCAGGGCCGGAGGGAGAGAGGGAGGAAACCGAGGAGGAGGCCGGCTGCGAGGACGGAGGGGAGGACCTGCTGGCCGTCCCCCAGAAGACCCCGGCGCGGGAGAGCGACCAGTCGCGCTCCAGCTCTCCCCAGGCCGGGCCCAGCAGCGAGGGGGGCAGCGAGCCCCAAGAGAAGGGCCGGCTGAGGGCCCGGCGAAAACGTCGGCTGCCCAACAAGGAGCTGAGCAAGGAGCTGAGCAAGGAGCTCAACCTGGAGATCCAGAAAACGGAGGACTGCCTGGCCAACGAGAACTGCCAGCCCCTCAAGTCGGAGCCTGAGAGCGAGAACGAGGAACCCAAACGGACTCTCAATAACGGCGGCGAGCTGGGGAGCGAGAGGCTCCACCACAAGAGCAGGGAGATGAACTGGACGCCCCGAGAGTTGCGCTACCACCATCACCACCATCACCAGCAGCAACCGGCGCAGCAGCAGCAGCTGTCCCCCCTCGGCTTCAACCGGAGCCCCCCCAGGACGCCGGTCTCCGGCCGCCCCCCGCCGTCCCGCTCGCCTCCGAAGGGCATGCAGATGGAGCGCCACGTGATCCGGCCACCCCCCATCAGCCCGCCGCCGGACTGCCTGCCCCTGGACGACGGGGAGTCCCACGTAATGCGCCGGGAGGTGTGGATGGCCGTGTTCGGGTACCTCACGCACAAGGAGCTGTGCGTCTGCATGCGCGTCTGCAAGACCTGGAACAGATGGTAGGTTCCTCTCGCGAGAGGGCGGCTCTTACTGCCCCGCTGGCGCCTTCTCCGGCTTGAACGGAAAACACTAGGGGATGTCAGGAACATCCAGTGAGAGCTTGGGCGTGTGTGTCGTAGTGCGTCAACGACTTCTTTTGCCAGAGTTTTTTTTTTAACTCTGGAGAAGTGCTACAGCAAGTGATGTGTGCTGCATATGAACAGTTTTGCCAACGTAAAAAGTAAAAAGGTGTGTTTTCTTTTGTCCTGTTCTTCTGCGTCTTATTGTGCTTCAAGACGCTTAACCTGGTTTGTGGATTTGGGTTGTCATAGCATGCTCCTTATTTTTGGCCAGGATGCCTCTTGTCATGTAGGATCAATTAAATGAGGCCCCACAAGGCTGGTATTACTGGGAATCTGTGGAAGTTACCTGTTAATGATGGACAGTGATATCTCCTTTTTAAGGCCAGCGCAGAATGACTGTGGCTGAAGACACTGTCTGCCTTTGGGTATAGCAAATGGGTAAAATGATTTTTTGTGATTTCTTGACAAAAAATGTCTTTCTGCGGTTTGTCTAGGTGCTGTGATAAGAGACTGTGGACTAAAATTGACCTAAATCGCTGCAAATCAATCACCCCCCTCATGCTCAGTGGCATTATACGAAGGCAGCCGGTGTCCCTGGACTTGAGCTGGACAAACATTTCAAAGAAGCAATTAAGTTGGCTCATTAACCGATTACCAGGTAAGAGGAATTAAAAGTCTGGGAGCTTGCGCTGCCCTGTGGTAATTCTGTTGGAAAAACACAAGCTATTTGTGTAACAGTCAAAATTAGCAGTGACTGTTGAATGAAAAGGGGAGAGAAACTTTGTTTTTAATGAAGTGTACTCTTAGAGAAATGCAGAGCCTCCAAAAAACATAAAAGGCTAGAACGTCTGTAAAACTAATATTTCCTCTTCTGCACTGCAGTAGTACGGGTGAAGAAATATCAGAATTAGGATATGTTTCATTAATGTTCAGGTGTCATTGGACAAAAAAAAAACTTGGAAAAATGGACAGTTGCTCCAAAAAATGTTTTCAGAAAACAGCACTTCCTCACAAATATACCCCACCTATGGTACAGACCTGCATGTCTGAAAAGGGACCGGAGCAGCCCCTGGTGGTCTCATAGCCATGAGTGATCTGTATGTTGTCCAATGGGAATGCGCTCCGCATGCTCTCATTTATAAGCTTGTTTGCCATATTTTAGTGCTCAAAGGCACAATTTTCACGGTATAGTCATTTGATTAGACTGACAAACTTTATAAGCACCCTTTACATCTCCCAATACACTGGGATTTGCCATAATTTACTGGAGCTTTCAGAGCTCAGAGGAAAACAGCCAAATTGCTTGCTAGGAACCATTTCCAAAAAATGGACCATGACCAGATGCCCTTGTCAGTTAATTTGTGTCTCTGGGGGATGCCATCCTTTGGATGAATTTTTCAACTAAGTAAAAAACCCACTGGTATGTTTGAAGTAAGTCTTCTCTAAGACCCAACACTACTGTTGCAGTGTTATCCTGCATTGCAACAAAGTGATTTTTGTAGCTCACATTGCAATAGTTAGGTATTATTTCTTGTGCAATATTTCAAATATGTGAGAGAGACAGAATCTGAGCTACCTAACAATATTCAATTTTCAGGATGAGATATTAAACCAAGGTTCTGACTTCTTGGTTTTTAAAGATCTTGTGGTACTGTTAGTAGGAGAAGAAACATTAAAAACCCTGGTATCCTGGATAACTTCTCCAATTGGCTTACACAGTATGAGCCCTGTAACGTTTGCCCTACATTCAACTGAATTGATTTCTCTCGTCTTTGTGATCTGCTGTGTAACGGAGCTGCCAGCACATTATGACATTACAGGTGGGCGATGCATTTCCATGGGGATGAAATGGGTCCTCTTTCATGTATAAAAAGAGCTTTGGGATTCATGAGGATGAGAATTGCTGCAGAAATGCAATTTGGAATTCTTAAGAAGGTGTGTGGTTTTCTGTCCTCGTTCTGCAGGTCTCAGGGTCCTGCTCCTGTCTGGGTGCTCTTGGGTGGCCGTCTCTGCACTTTGTACCTCCAGCTGCCCCCTGCTGCGGACTCTGGATGTCCAGTGGGTGGAGGGACTGAAAGATGCCCAGATGAGGGACCTCTTGTCACCACCAACTGACAACAGACCAGGTAGCTTCAGATAAAAAATCATATCCTAAAAGCACATTTCATTCTTTAGAGGTGGTGTGCACGTGGGAGGAGTCTGTTGTGAATTGTCAGGCTTGACTGCTTGCTTCTGGTCAGTGGTAATGATTGTTATGCAAGACAGTGACCTCTTCTGGATGAGAATAGGATAACATGCCTGGAGTCTCTTGAGACTTTTTTCTGACAGATTCTTGGGTGTGCATGGATATTTCAGGTAACTCTAATTGGACAAGAATTGCTCTTATCGATCTCCTTCGGGATCAGGGGAGATAATTATCCTCTTCTGTGAGGGACATCCAATAAACAATGAGTGAATTGGCTAGACAAGACCTTCATTTTGTACAAATTCATAGTTCATAAATTGATTAAAGAAGATCCAGTGTTGCATTGAGTTTTTAACCCATTGCATTGCACCAAAGGTATTTCATGGTACAGGAATACATGTCAGGTCTAAATAAGACCAGTTAAACAGTTGATTAATTTTCCTCATCCTCTTGCATATCTGAAGACCCTGGGCTGTCCTACAGCCTTGAGATTTGACCAAATGTTTTTTCTGTGTTTTTAAGCTGCTCCTGTGCTGTTCGGTTGCCCAGGGAAATGAGAAATCACATTTGCTTTCCTACGCGTTGACACTGTATCAGGATCATTTCTAACTCCTTCTTTATTTCAGCAGACACCCAGGCCACTGTTCTTTTAAAAGCTAATTAAGACAAAGGAGTTACACATCCCCGGTTTCTGACTTTCCCTTTTCTATTTCTATGTACAGGTCAAATAGACAATCGGAGTAAACTGCGGAATGTTGTAGACTTACGTCTGGCGGGACTGGATATTACTGACGCCTCCCTTCGTCTTATAATCAGACACATGCCTTTGCTTTCCAGACTGGACCTCAGTTACTGTAACCACATAACTGACCAGTCCATTAACATTTTAACCGCAGTGGGAACGACAACTCGGGATTCCCTAACAGAAATTAATCTGTCAGGTAGGAAACGGAGAATTCCAGTCAGTGCATTAACACAAACATACCTTCACTGAAACACAAACTGTAATTCATCATCGTACTGTTGCATTTTGACTCAGGATGTGCAGAACTGAATTACTGGTACACAGATAATCAGTTTTTGCTGCTTTTCTGTTTTTTTTTTGTTTTTTTCATTGTTTGTCTATGTATGTGGGGGGTGAGATCTTGTCATAGTCTGTGTAAAAATTCAGAGCTTGTCCGATTAACCCATTAATGCCCAGGTTTTGTGAGTGCCATATTTCTAATGTTAGCAATACCTCTAGGATATTAGGTTTGCACATCATCCAGTCCATGTCATACATAGTTGTTTTAGTTCAGTGGTGTCAAAACATGAAACTTAGCTTTGGGACCTGAGCTAAACTATATTATAAGATCATAGTCTTCTAAATTGGGCATTACTGGGTTAATTAAACTGGGATTTGTTTTTTTAGGATGATCTGAGTCCGTAGTCACCTGACATGATTTTGGAAGTCCAGAAAGGCCGCACACTTACACTTAAAATCCATTTACTGTATTGTGTTTTCTATTCTTTGATTAATGTGATCTTTTCAACTCCCTAAACTATATATACATATATATGATAATCCTGTGGAAACTTAAATGTTTTTTCTTGTTGTTTTTTTTTTTTGGAAAAACCATCAGCTCACCAAACAATGTAGGGCTCATGTATTCAGGTGCATACTAATAAATACCCAGTAATTTTCATCTCTGCCTACGCTATTTAAACTTGAAAGCAAATTCTTCAGTCTTTGTATTTATATACCTCAGGTTGATTGAAAAGTGCTTTATATACATGCTGCATTTGATAATTCCTCATGCATGTAGCACTGCATGGTTAATGTTGAGTGACAATAAAAATACAGATCGTGAATTGTAGTTACTCTTTTTCTGTTTCACACTTAGCTTTAATTTTTCCTTCCCTGCAGTTTGCAATAGGGTTACTGACCAGTGCCTGACCTACTTCAAACGATGTGGGAACATCTGTCACATTGACTTGCGGTACTGCAAACAAGTGACCAAGGAAGGCTGTGAACAGTTCATAGCAGAGATGTCTGTAAGCGTACAGTTTGGACTTGTAGAGGAAAAACTGCTTCAGAAACTGAGCTAGTTAATACTGGACATTAACACACAAGATATAAGTAACAAACTGCCCTCCTTTCAAATGGAACAGCAACATGTGGTTTCTCAGACTTGGTTGTTTTTAACTTGGGATTTTTTTCACATAAAGGGGATAATCAACAACACTGGAGAAAAAAAAAAGAAAAACAGACCAACAGACAACAGGTGCAGAAACATAAAAAATGATTTAGATACAGAGGATTGGAGATCATGTTTAGGTCTCGTTCTGGATATTGCTTCCCCTCAGCCCCAGATACTGAAGGAATCAGGCTCATACCATTGTCCTGTTAAACCTTGAATTTTTTTTTTTCTGAAAATGGGATTTTTCAACTTGTACAGAATCTGGGCAAAACTTGGCTTTGTGGAGCGAATGTCAATAAAAGCATGTTGGTTTTTTTTTTGTACTGTTAAGAATTAACATTTAAGTTGTAAACTTGTAAAAAAAAAGTCACATTGTGTTTAAGGAATATGAAAGGACCACACTCAGTGCAGTCATTTTTTTTTACCTTGTTTATTAACGATGTTGTTTTGTTACAATACAAACCTCATGCATTATTCAGAAATATTTTTGTATGAGAAAGTGTTTGAAGCTCTCTATATATGCAGTATTGAATGCACCCTGGTGTATCATTTTAATTGACAGTTTTCAATCTGCATTTTTCTTTGGCTGACTTTAACCTGTACTTCAGATTTATGCTTAAAATAGCTTGTCCAGATCGAGGTGTTAATATATTAATTTATGCTGTGGTGTTTTATCTGACATAGGTATTCAGACATACCAGTTCAGAGGTACTTTCAGATGCCTATGTATCAATGTCTATTTCATTGTCTTTATACCTGGGAAATCTAGGAAAACAATTTGCACTGTTTGACTTGAATAAATATAGCTATTTTTTCCAAGGTTCATCAACTATTTATATCGGGAGGGTTGGAGGGCTGTTTTGTATAGACACCCTATTCTAAGAGACCATTATGTACCTATAACATGCTTTAGCTGTAAATTTTAGCAAATGCCTGAAATTGTGACTGTTTAATATGAACTAAGCACTAGGACTTGACCTTTCTAAAGCAGAGAAAGGATCCCAGAATCTTTTAAGGAATTTAATTAATTTAAATTGTGAGTTCTGAATTCTAAAAACCGTGCTTACAGATATGCAACATACATAATTTAAAGTAACTAGACCCTGTCAGACTAAGGAGAACACCATCTTGCTGCCAGCTGTTTCTGTGGTACCTTTTCTATATATTTCATGTTTTTGCATCATTATCCACTTACAGTATTTTTTCCTCAGATTAAAAGTCTTGTGCCTTGCAGGCAAGAGTTGGAGCCATCTAATTATAGCAGGTTGAGTATATGGTTTCGTACTCCTAGATGATTTCTTAGGGGTTTTTTACTTAAATCACGTCATTTTATATACACCAAGCATAATTGCCTTTTTAAAAAAAATGAAGTTCATTTAAAAATGAAAATTGAAAACGCGGATCGGGACAGTTACCTGTACAGTATGCCGTTACCACTTTACCAAATAGTATTTGCTTCCTTTTTGATAAATACTGTACAAGTAAAGTTGATATCAAACCATACCAATGCTTCAAGGGGTGTGTATTTACATGAGGTGTATATATGCAGTACACTTACACCTATATGAGTGTACTTGTGCACCTCAGATGTTTGAGCAGGGAACTAATGTATGTTTAAGAGTTATATAAATTAGGAAGCCTGTTAAAACTTGGTTTACTGAGGGCAGCAATGTATGTAAAATTAAAAAAAAGTTGCCATTTATACGTTCCAAGGTTTTGCGTGGGTGCAATGAGGGTAATGGGTAGACTGAAGTTCAGTGAAGACGCAGGCAAGCCAGCTTTCTGCTTTGGATAGCAAACGTTTTGGGGGAAAAAAAAGTTCAGACCAAGAATGGAATTTAAAATGCCATATTGTTGTTATCAGTTATTACAGATCACATTTCAGATGTGCAGGAAGATATATGTATAGATTTTATTTTTTAAAAGCACTTCCCTATGAACGAATTTGAAATACCGGAAAAAAAAATAAACTGTGTTTTTCCTTATGTCTCATACTTTTTTTTTTCCTTTGAGAAAAACAAAACAAAACAGATGAACTACCATGTGTAAATCTGGCGGTTTATAATGAATTCTGTCCAGGTCAGTACTTTTTTTTTAGCATCATACATTTTAACACGGAGGTTGTGTGGTGGAATGTGGGCCTTATTAAATCCCTCCTGCTTTTGGGGTTTCATCGCCAAGATCTGATAAGCAGCCTGAGTTTTCTTCCTAGACCAATCTGAAAAAGTGGCAGAGGGGTTTGAGAGCAGATGTCTCAAATGCAGACCCTCTTAGTGGGGAGGGGGAGAGGGAATTTGTCCCTTTCCTGCTGCCCACAGGGGAAAGTGAAGGTGCTTCTTTAAAAATCGGATTTGAGGATTTTGTTTACTGTGCAACCAAAGGATGCAGATCTATAAATGTTACAAGTGTCTGTATTCAAACACGAGGAAGTGGCACATGCTGTATAAATAGTCAAGGTACTGTATTTTTATTAAAGTTTTTTTTAATTACCAAAATAAAAAGTTCAACATTCCAAAATACAAAAACCAGACGTGACAAACTTTGTTTCATAGAACACTTTCCACTTGCAGTCTGCTCCGTTATTGTTGTAGGTGCCTGTGTGTGACTTAGTGATATAGCAGCATTTTTTATTTTAAGTGTTTCAAAGGTGCTTTACATCTGAATATGTTTGATACTTTGAGCAGAGCAGAGCATGGGAAAGCCATGATTTAAAGAAGAAATTAAAGACATAACTAAATATTCCACCAGAAGCAATAACAATGAATCAAGAGGGGATCCCAAGTCTTCTACTGTATTACTACTTTTCCATTGATGTGTAGGCGAACCAACATCAACATCATTAACAGTTCAACCAGCAACAATACACTTTTTACAGGATGTTAAACTTGGTAAAACTGAAGAACATTGCTGCAAATCAGATATTAAATCATTAAAAAACATACATCTTATAGTTTACAGCGATATGAAACATATAACTGTGCAACAATATTCCCCTTATAATTCTACAGACCCAGGGGCATGTGTAATAACTTGCATTTCTTTAATTTTTCTAATGTTTAAATCTAATTGGTCAACCAACTCGTTAAACACGTTTGAATAAACTAGCAAAAAATAAACGCAAATATCCAAAAGTCCACACCCACATTATTTAATTGTGATCTGGATAAGAAAATAAGATGAGGGGGTGGGTTATGTCTGATGATTTAGCACCTCTTACTCCTATTGAGAACATTCAGAAATGAAATCTGAAGCGATCATTTAAAGTAGAAATTTTTGAAGTGTTACTAAAAAGTTTAATGGCGTGCAAGGTTTTGCCACTATACTGTAGATCTTATCTTAAAGGAGCCGAAATAAAAGCTGTTCTTTATTGCTCTGTTTGGGCATTAGAATTCCAGGTCACTATTAATTCAATGCTGAGATTAAACCATCCCAATTTGAACTACTGTATGTACAGTATTTCAAATCCATAGTTCATGCTCCCTGACCACAATCTGTGGTTACAGATATGCTATAATAAACATAGATTCCCCAGTGGAGATCTGCCCCTGCTATAGTAAGCTAATTAAATATGGAGACTGTTAACGGAGGAACACAAAAACATTGTGTTCTTCACCAGTTAAGCACCTGAAATAATGGGATAGAAATATAAATAAATTATTATATTCTGTCACTTGCACATAAATAGTTTGGTACCTGAAGAGTACACTATTTTGTATCGCAGCACATTCTTTTGAAGTTTTACTGGGGTGGTTAATTTTTTTAATAATGCTCTTCTCATTTTAAACGCTAGAAGCATCTAATCATTCTGAATTGGGATAAAGACGTTTAAGTAGTACATTGTGCATACAATTCGTCTCGCACATAAAAAGTAAAGACTTATAGTTTCAGAATAAAGTAATCTATTCATTTGTGTTATCCCAATCATTTCCTCCTAATATTTTCAAGCCTACTTTTGCAGATTTTTATTAAAGGGCATTTAATGCAAATGATCTAAGCTGTAGCTAGAGCTTCAGTACAAAAAAAGGCAATTGCAGTAAAGCTGAAAAAAATCAAACGTTTTATTAAAAAAAAAAAGCCATTTTCACGTATGGCATTTTAATGTCCAAACGAAAGAAAAAGAAAAATGTTGATATCCTAGAACACTAAAGGATGAATGGATGTTACGTCATTAGGACTTGAAAACGTGCACAGCCCGCACTACGAACTGGCGACAGATGGGACACTCGCTCATTCTCTTCCCACACTTGGTGCAGGTGACCATGTGGCCGCATTCCAGAAGCACGCAGTCGATCACAGCATCCATACAAATCCGGCACAGGTTATCTTCGTTTGGGAGCTGCATCTTCTCCCCCTCTGCAAAAAGCAAAAAGACAGGTGTCATTTTACAGCAACACCCCGGTTTGCTTCAGGTCTGAGTCCATTGGGAAGTGGGACTTCCCAAGTGAAATCTCTGCAGGCTTTGGTGATTTTCCATTCGCTACAATATGGGTCTTGTATACGATTTCATTTTGACAATCCAGCTCAACGGCCCGAGACTTCTTAGGATAATTCAAGGTCAAAAGTAGGTTAGTTGACCTATCAAATAAATGCTTCATTAAAACATGCATCATGGAAAAACATGAATTTGGTGCCTATGCTAATACACTAAATAGTTGCATGACAATAGTGGGCACAAAATAGTTTCTTGTTGCTCTCTTTCACATCCTTCCACACTGGCAAGACATCACTCACAAATGGTGGTCACTGGGGCTGATGTAGCGCCCTCTGGTGTGTACAATCATTGTCTATTTTCTGAGGCACATTCTTTACAGCCATATTTGTATGCGTTTTATAGCTATTTTCTCTATGGAGCCCGGTTTTCTAAAAGGCCAACAGCAGTAAAGAAGCACCCTATACAGTAGATATAAAACTTGACATCAGCTCACTAAGGAGAGGTCATGCAGGTTTACAGATTGTGTCTGGCTCTGAATTGACTGAATTGTGCTTCCATGCACAAAGATCACTAACAGGAACACTATCTTGACTTTAAAATGTTGTCATCAAGCCCACTCAGAATGGATTTAATGTTCACAGAGAGGTTTCACAGGTGAAGCAGCTTATTGACAGGAAGTGAATATAGCTTTTATTTAACTGTGACTAAGCCCCTCTGTTTCTTCCTTCACAATTCTGAGAATATACTGGTGCTCTTCTGCATCTAGTAAGAGTAATTCCTCACATTTAAGCGTAAGCCCATTGCATAAACCCTTATAAATAATCACATCCCTTTAAAAAAGTAAGGCCACCTAAAAACTAAGACTCATTTTCTTCTGGCAGGCACATAAAAGGGAACAATCAAGGGTTTGATCTGGTGATAAAAGTACCACGATGAAAATTAAAAATAAAAGATATCAAACAAAGGTAAATGAAAATGCTACATCAATCACAAAATGCTGATGCTTTGACTGCCATGCTTTGGAAAGGATTCTTGAGTTCTAAGGAAGAGGCAAAAGGGGAGAATTTCCTCCACCTCTTTAATAGCATGCATCCCTGCCATCTTGTGGAGGACTGTGCAGTATACATGCGTTTGTATTTTGTGGATGCTTATAATCATGTTCAATATAATCATGTGGAAGGACAACACTGACAAGAAAATAATGGTAGGGTGGTACTTATGAAGAGAATACTCATCTCATCTTACCTCCGATTCCTCCATTGCAGATTGGCTGAGGATATGCTACCACTTATGGAGAGTGAAGCACAGGTGTTAGAAAACAGCCTCACTGTACCCTACACTTCATTTCAGATACACTTTTGTGTATGGCAGTCAACTGTAACCTCATTTATACTACCAAACAAATTCAGTTACCTCCTAGAACAGAAATTAGCCGTGCTGAGGATAGTGGGCTTTTGTAAGGAGAGCACTGCTCATAAAGATGTCACTCAACTTTCATTTTTCCAGGGTATATTCCCTGCACATAGCTCAAATGAAGAGGAGGTAAAGAGTTCTTCACAACTCGTTTGTAAAACGAATTCTTGCGGGCATTTAAGAACAGAGTTTGTATTTATGAATTGGCTTCATTACTCTGCTCTCCTCCCCACTGATAGCTGATGTGTGGGGAGCGTTCTGGCGCACTATGGCTGCCGTCGCATCATCTAGGTGGGGCTGCACATTGGTGGTGGTGGAGGGGATCCCCATTACGTGTAAAGCGCTTTGAGTGGAGTGTCCAGTATAAATGTAAGCCATTATTATTATTTGTTTACATCTTAAAATACAGACTTCCTACATCTCAGGGCAGCACTTTGAATTCAAATCAACAATCAATGGGAGATGGGTCACACGAGTTCAACTCTTGAAGACCTGTAGTCTCCTAGCTGTCAAAGCAACACCCTGTCACCACCCAGCTGTTAGGGAAACAGATGCGATAATAGTTTGAGTGTGGCGATATTCTGACAAACTGTAGTATTGCAGAAAATTGATAAGCTGGGAGTCACTTCTGGGTAACATGTCAGATTAGGGGTTGGAAATGGTATTTGGAATTCTTTATGAATAAAATATTTATAAAGTATTAGTACAGTGACATATGCCATGATAACCAGCCTTCTACTGTAGATCAGTACCAAAAAACCCAATCCTGACCAGTCAGTCAACCACAACCCATATGCCATTACTAAGGAGTATTAGTAATATTTTTTATAACATGTTAGTAGACTGTTAATACACAGTTATAATGAAGACCTAAACTGAAGTGTGACCCAATTCTGGAACCTCACAGACAAGAAAGTGTTAAGGCATAATTTCCTTTCATGGCCAGGGCACGGGAGAGGTGTTTTCATGCTCTGGAAGGGATATATACTGGGTATTTTGTTAAATGACATTACACAATCTATTTAAATCCTGTCCCAACCCATCCTTTTCCACTCTTTTATGCTTTAATATCATCAGCACCAATGTAGGGGTATTAAACTGAGTCATGAAGTAATACTGTCCCCTTAATGGTTTACAGAAATACTGTTAAGCAAAAAACAAAAAATTACTAATGTAACAACTCTTGTTCGGTAGCTTTGCTGATGTTTTATTTGCCAAAGAAAATAACGTGCTTACAAAGCAGTGTTAATTGTCACCCATATGATGCAGTGACTGAATATTGTACAGTATCCTGAAAGAATACAAAAAATGTGTACTCTTACCTGCAGTTATGCTGCTGCTCACATTTTCCACTGCAAAGAAATAATAAAGGAAGAAGTGAAGGGGGTGTCTGAAGTGACTGGCCCGCGCCGAAGGAGGCACGCCTGCTGCTTACATGACTTCCTGTTCTGTTCGTTCTCCCGGTACAGCCTGCCGACGCGCTCCACCAGCTCCCACTTCTCGCAGCACCCCGAGTAATTCACAAAGTTGCGCGTCAGGATCTCTTTGAGCTGCCGCACGGACAGGCCCTCGATCTCGTCTGCGCTGGAGACGTCCGACAGGGAGGCTCTGGCCCGCTTCCGCGACAGGGTGCCGGCCTGCGGAGCGCAGGGGAAGAGTGAGACCGCGCTCCTCTCCCTGCTCCCTCTGCCCCGGGGGGACACGGATCCCGGCGCAGCGCGGAGCGGTGGCTCTGGGGCTACGGATCCGCGCCTGGGGCTGGGAGGTTGCTTGTTCGCATCCCGCGGCCGGCAGAGGAATCCTACTCCGCTGGGGCCCTGAGCAAGGCTGTTAACCCCAGCTTCTCCAGGGGCGCCGTATAAATGGCTGACCCTGCGCTCTGACCGGAAAGAGAGACGAAGGAAAATAACTGTGATTTGGCCACCAAGTCACACACTTCTCAGTTTTTCGCCTTCCAGTTAAATGACCTGGCGCGTCAGCTGCTTGCGTCAGGCCGTACAACACAAACGTGTGCTCGTTTCACTGGAGAGGGCACTGCCGTGGCTATTGGAAGAGCTTTAGAAGCTGAGGTTAATAAACACAATGACATCATCGGGTGATGCCACACTGGCACAGTGGTTAACACTGCTGCCCCACAGCGCTGGGGCGCTGTCTGCGTGGAGTTTGTACGCACTCCCCATGTTCGTGTGGGTTTCCTCAGGCTTCTCCGTCTTCCCCAGTCGAAAGACATGCTGGATGGTTTATTGGCTTCTGGGAAAATGGGCCTCCATGTTGGTTGTGCGTATGGCTGTGTCTGTGCCTTGTGATGGACTGGGGACCCCAATTTTTTTTTTTACCCGTTGTTTTCTGGGTCCCCCGCAACCCTCGATGGAAAGAGGCAGATAGAAAATGGTTGGATGGACACTGGTCGGGGTATAGCAGCCCCACTGGTCCCCTTAGTTTTCATTTACCTTTAAACTGCTGTAGCCCACTTTCCCCATCTGTTACAGTCCAGAAACAAGCTGTCTTTACACCAAGTTGGGCACTTACCTCTTGAACTGCATTTTCATTTTGTAGGTTCAAGAGTGAGAGTGTTGGACCGTCTCCCTGGTCCTGAGGGCAAATCAGAAGAAAAACGCATAACGCACAGCTGGAAAATCCTTAAAATAACCCCCTTTCTTCTGGTCGGCAAATCAAGTCTTTCAGAGTTAGAAAGTGTACTGCTTAAATGTCGTACAATTTACACTCCCTCGAAAATTAAACAGAATGGTTCTTAATTCCGGGCCTGGCAGCCCAGCGACCCTGGGTTTAATTCCAGACTGGGGTGCTGTCTGCGTGGAGTTCGTAGGTTTCTTCACGTGCTCATGTGGGTTTGTGCTGGGCGCTCCAGTTAACTCCAGGTAATCCAGCCCTGGTGTGACTGTGTCTGTGTCCATGGCTGTGTGTGCACGGTGATGGACTGGCATCGAGTCCAGGGTATATCCTTGCCGGGATAGGCCCCAGCTCCCCCACGAGCTTGTACTGGGTAAAGGCAATGTGGGATTTGTTTGTAGATTGGTTTAGACATGTCTAGATAGGTCTAACAGTACTGATAAAACACTGAAAACCCAGTGAGTGCACTACAAAAGGCTCAGAAAGCAATACATGGTACTGGACAGTGTTGTTGTTGTAGCACTACATTGCACTTTCTGCACTTTCCTACCAGCATTTCTGTATTGACCAACCAGTTACATAGCATAATAACTGCTTCCTTTTTAAAAAGGCATTCTGTATACAAGGTATACACAATGTATATATAATGTACACTGTAAAAATTATAATAGAGAAATTTCCCAGCTAATCTTTTACAAAGGTTAGCCGAGTTGAAAAGAGATTAGTATGCTATGGAATGCAGTCCTGTATATAGACAAAGCAAAATTCTCCTGCTCTCGGCACAGAGAGAAAAGTCTTTAATCAAGATGACCTAGGCTTGGTAGATGACTTATTGCTTATGATCTGTTTTACTGCAGTAGCAGCATGCTGCGATTAAAAGGGGACTATTTACGCTGCTAGAGATGCAAAGGTATAATAAAAAGCATGAAATGACAGCTTTAGTCTCTACCACACTTTAAGCCATTAGCTAATGGGTTGCATCCCACTAAAACGACATGAGTGTTTGAGCTCCTGTGTCTGCGAAGATCCACGGTGATTTCCAGCCCCTGCTTCAAACCACACATCCAAAAGGACAGAAACTCACACTCGCACTGTCCGCCTCTACTTCTAAAAGGCTGCCTGGCAAACTTCAACATCCCACAACCCCCTTCGCTACAAGCAACGCGCTGGAGAGGATAATGGAATTCAGGGATTTCCACTTAACCTCCATTTTGTTAATAATGCATACAGCTGCCAGCTCTGCATTTCCCCCTCCACTGCAGCTCCTCTTAGGAAAGACTGACATTCACAGCTTTAGTTAAGTATATTTAGGCAACAAAATAGTTTACTTGTAATTAAATGGAAAGCTTTCAAGTCGTTTCACAAGGGTGTGTCACGCACACTGGCATACAGACGCCTGCGGATAGACAATGTGGGTCCACGAAGGTGTATAAAGTGATTGCTAATAATGTCATGTAAAACAGGCGAAATCGTGGTTTTACTCCACTACTGGAGCTCTTGTTGGAAAACTCAATGCATGTTCGAAATCTCACAGGAAGGAAGTTCAGAGAAGCCAGCCGATACCTGATTCGTGGTCCCTGAGCTTCCTCTTCTGCCCAGTTCTTCTCCCTGAGGGGCAGACAGCGACGACTGCAAGGATGTGGAACGCACAGTGGACAGTGGGGTGGTGAAGATCGACCTGGAGTGCACGCTGCCCGAGTCCGTGTCGTCCTCCGCGTCCGAGCCCTGGTGGCACAGGACGAGGTCCACCAGGTCCTCCTTCTCGCGGCACGTGTCCGTGGGAATGTTCCTCAGCGTCAGGTACTGACGCAGGTCCTTCACCCTCAGCCTCATGAGCTGCGGCCTCTGGAAGGCAGTCCCCTTCAGCAAGTGGCACGTGGCGCACCTGCGGAGGTTCTCCTGCAGCACCGAGCACAGGGAGCAGAAGTTCTTCTTGCAGTCGCAGCAGATGTGCTGGAGGAGAAGGCCGAGACAACCAGGTACGTGAGCTCAGGGGTGCATTTCCAGAATGGAATGAGCACTTCAAGGCAAGAGGCATCGTCTAGACTTCCCCAACACCACTCCTGTGCATCACCCCTGCATGACAGACGATACACTACTGCGTTCATATATGCCCCGAGTTTTGCTTGGTGTTTTTTTATGCCAGAGTTAATAGGGCTAGAGCTACATCTCTCGATCCGAGTTAAATACATGGCGAACACCGATCAAAGGAAGATGAAGGGACATCAGTGGCCCAGGAGAACAGAGGGACTAATGTATTAGAATGTATTTTTCTTGTGACAAAAGAAAAACCCATTAGCTGGTCCAGGGAACAAAAATCAATGTTTCCCACCTGCAACTGTCTGCTTCTTTAAATCAAGTAACCAGTATAGGGACAGGGAGTCTGTCATTCGGATGTAAATGATAGAGCAGTAAATACATTCAGCTCTGGGATTTTGAATTATAGCTTGTAAGCAACTAAAAAGAAAAAAAGATACTTTGCAAATGTCCTCTCTCTTCTAGAGCTGATCAGATTCAGTGCTGGCCTGACACTGAATACACTATTTTCTCTTTGATCTATGACCAGTCAATCCTCAAAATGGAAATGCCACAAAGCTGGTGTCAAACACACAGACAAGCTGGAGCCAATCAATAAAGCTGATGTTATGTTAGTGCCACAAAGTACTCTGAACATTGCCGATATGACTTATGACAGCTTACAATACATCAGCTAAATTTCACTTTCTTTAAGTCCCTATCTTACCATCGGAATTTGCAGCCTTAAGAAAAGGCCTAGAAAATGTAATCACCATGTGTTTGAGAGGCAAGATGAGATAAAGAGATAGGGGTATGTACAAATATGGGGAGATGTTTGCAGAGGAGATAAGTATCCAGTGTATCTCCTTTTAGAGGCAATATAGTTGTTGGAAACAAAGGAAGATCTATTAAAATCTAAACAAAGGAAGTTACACTGGCAGTACAATTCACTTACAAAAAACAAACATTGCACCCTGAAAAGAAATCAAGCATGTTCTGTCTTATACAGTGTTTTTTTTTAAAAAAAAAACATAGCTAGTTAAACCCAAGTACAATGAATGCGACAAAGGCACATCTCTGCACGATGTCCTGTGCAGGCAAATCAATATTAAGGACAGCCACTGTGCTGTCATGTCTTAGCCTTCTGAACGAAGCAACCTTCCATTTTTAGCAGCTCTTATCCTGGTCACCTCTGAGGATACAGGAGATTACCCTGGGGCAGCGACAGGCCGAACTGCATGCCACCTGACTAGAAACTCCTACTCAACCTACCTACAGCAAGAACAGCAATCAGGGAGAGCTATGATGGGAAATAATAAGATGGAAACAAAGAAAACTCAGGAAGAGCAGAGAGCAAGCAGGAGTACAATAGAAAAACCTGATGTGTGCAGATAAGGCATTCATTTCCTTACAGAAAAAGATGAGTAACTCAGTTTGATGCTAATGTCCATAACGTCAGTGAAATTTATAGAACACCACGATTAATTCTGAAATGGAACCAGAGGGCACAAATGGAAACTATGTGAAAGTTCAAACCAATAACGGGAGTTTCCCGTGGTGTTTCTGAAGCCGGTATTCAGCCGGCTGAGTCAAGGAGCAGATGGGTGAGCTTCTTGGACCAATTGACTACTAATGGGCTTCTCTTAATAATAATAATAGCTTACACTTATGTAGCGCTTTCCTGGACACTCCACTCAAAGCGCTTTACAGGTAATGGGGATCCCCTCCACCACCACCAGTGTGCAGCCCCACCTGGAGGATGCGACGGCAGCCAGAGTGTACCAGTACACCAGTCCTCAGTGGGGAGGAGAGCAGAGTGATGAAGCCAGTTCAGAGATGGGGATTATTAGGCGGCCATGATTGGTAAAGGCCAATGGGAAATTTGGCCAGAACACCAGGGTTACACCCCCTACTCTTTTTGAGAAACGCTCTGGGATTATTAATGACCACAGTCAGGACCTTAGTTTTACGTCTCATCCAAAGGACGGCACCTTTTTACAGTATTGTGTCCCCGTCACTATATTGGGGCATTAGGACCCACATGGACGATGGCCCTGGTGGCCCCACTAACACCTCTTCCAGCACCAACCTTAGTTTTTTCCAGGAGGTCTCCCATCCAGGTACTGACCAGGCTCATACCTGCTGAGCCAGCTGTGAGTTGCAGGGTGAGATGGCTGCTGGCTTCTCTTTTATGACAGTTTTAGTGTTCTTAAGACTTGTACACATAAACAATTTTTGACCGATTTATTTCACATTGAAGAAATGACATGATTGTCATGCATTCCGCAGTGGCACAGACAAATCGCCCCCGGGGGGTACCCCAGCCTCCCAGCCAGTCCGTACCTTTCTCCTGAAGACGGAGAAGGCCAGCCCGCAGGCCTTGCACACGAGGCTGGAGTTCCCTGAGGTCGTGGGGTAGGTGGAGTAGCCCGCGCTGGGGGCGAACCGGAAGGGCCCGGCTCCGGCCCCGAAGCCCGGCTGCTGGCCCCGCACTGCCCCGGTGCCCATCACTTCATTCAGCAGACCACAGCATGAAGCCCACATAGACGAGGCCCCAGCCTGCGGAGGGAAACGGCAGCAGATCATTCAAACAGGTGGGGAGGGGGCCACGTGTAGAGTTTCTTTCTGTACCTTCTTCCTCGGACAGTTCATGAGTTCAAAACTCAAAATACCTCCGTGGCAACTCAGTCGAACAAGGTGGCTTCTCCCTAAATTGCATTATTCTCACCTCCTGGACCTGACAAGCGGTCGGTTCTCTTCGTCAAGCTTCCCCAAGCAGCTGGTTCGAAAACCATGTCCCCACTGAGCCATGCGTTGAAACTCGACGCATCCCACTCTTCTGTCCCTTGTTTTTTTTTTAGACATTTTTGTTATGCCCACCCCATCTCGAATCACCAACTGCATGCTCATCATGTCTCGGCTTGACTATCCTACCTTCAACCCACGGTATTGTAAAGTCTATGAGCCTGTCAAAGGCAGTGCAGCCCTGACGGGAGGAGAGGAGTGTCCCTCACCAGGAGCACTGCAGGCCTACAATCCCCCGGGAGGCCACAGGGGGCGCTGTGTGTGTGGCCGAGATCACACAGAGCCCTGGCCAACTAACCCCACTCTGCTCTCAGAGGAGCTCCACCAATCGTGCCCCAATGCCTGAGGTATTCCAGTCACAGTCGACTAGCGATCACTGAACTCAACCTCTGGTTGGGCAAACGCCTCTGCGGACTGAGCCACTCAGGAGGCCCCTGCTCACTGGTCAGAAATAGAAAAACTCTCTAATGACCAACAGAAGTCACAGAACTGGAAGAAGCGTAGAAGAAAAGTCCAGAAGTGTATTACATCTCCATCTACTTTTTGTTTTTCCTTCTAGATCATCAACTTTACATTCTGTAGATCAAGGTCACTTTCAGAACACCTGTTACAGATGTAAGGATATATAGTGCACATTTTAAAAAAATAAAAAATAAAGTCAACAGACTCATGTGAGGTCTTATGTGAAGTCTTAGAGTGACTTCTAAGCATAAGATTGTCTTATACGCCCTGACTACTTCAGAACAGAACTGAATTCTGAGACTTACTGTCTCAAACTTTCTACATGAAGACCATATTCCCGCTGAACACAATTCCTTCCCTCTGGAAATTAAACCCTAACATTTAAGCACAAGTCTTTGTTATTTTTACATCGATATAACTACTACAGGCTGACAAAACTGACAACTCTATGGAGAAGGCTAGTAGTTTTTGCTTTGAAAAAGACTCCCAGACAATGAATAGTTAATAAATCTCAAATCCCAAGTAACTGTTTAACGAGTACAAATTAATATAACACTTCTATAACAATTTCCTTTTGTAGAAATTCAAATTAGTTTGTTTTAAAACCAAAGGCTATTAAAGGGTTGCTATAAATGCATCGAGAGAAAGTTAAGTGCAAAGCACCCTACCTACTCAAAGCAACCTGATTGTTCTGGCCGTCTTTTCTAAAAATATAGAGATTGATCAAGCAGTTAACAATCATTCAGACCACGCGAACACAGCTGGACTTAATAAAACAGCCTCACTGGGTGAGACCGAGGAGACGGAAGGATTGCAGCCGTCTGCTTTCAGATGAAATTATTATTTCTATTTTTTACATAAAAAGCAGATCAGTCATAAAAAAGTACATTCATATCAGCCACCACATCTATAACATGAGATTGATTTCCATTCAGCTGAAATGCGTGGAAATCACTGTGCTTTAAGATAGCTCAGACAGGTGATATGTTCTGCATATCCAGGGCAGCAGCTATGAGTAAACCATTGCATTTTAATCAATACACAAAACAATAACTCTAGTTTCAGCCACCAGAATCACATTTATCATACATTTGTATACTATAAAGGGTTACAGTAACACTTTGTGAACCTGTTTCAAATTACTGCAGAATTGCTCATTTTCACAGAAAACTGCCTTCTTGGACTATGTCGGAATTCCATTTTAAAGGCTCTTCTTTAATGCCAAGAAATTAAGAAATGGGGAAAGTGTGACAGAATCCAGTATTCTGCAATATGTTAATTACTTTAGATCAGTGACTTTTTTAAAGCAGTAAACAGGTTATACAGAGTCCTTTGGAATTTGAAAAACCGAGATCAGAGACCAGGGATGCTGCTACTGTGTGTCATTTTAAAGTCATGTCTTACATTTCAGGCTCCAACCAGTACTTCTGTTAGAACCCTAATACTCCAGTACATCCTCAACAACTGTTCTAGAACCCTGAACTTCATTTTAGCAGCCATTTTAATCCATTTTCTATTAGTTTGTTTCACAATATACTTAACAGTGTTAGCCTTCACAATATCTCTGTGTAACACCCAGAACACGTAATGACCTGATCAGACAATAATAGCTTTTACAGCACATGTACCTTGAAATCTTTTTTTAAAGAAAGTTGTTCCAAAGACCTACAATAGCTTCCAAGATGGACATCTCTGTCACCAGTTACATAAACACAGAGGACTATTACAGTCTTTTTGGAGAAGAAAGATGCACTGCCAACTGAATGCTGATTAAATACCAATTAGTGATTTTTTGGAAACAATCAAATTCATGACACATCATACAAAAATATCAGTTGCTTAGTATGCGCTGGAGCACACGAGCATAATTATTCATTACTTCTGATTATTTCTGAATTCCAATAATAAAATCATTTAAACTTTGAGGTCCAATGTATGAAGATGGAGTACTAAGGGTTGTAAAAATCGAAAGGAAATCTAGCTGACCCACTGAAAATAAAATTACATGGATGATTTGGTTGCAAAAAGAGTAGCATTCAGCAGTCTGTGTGGCTTATGGCCTACAGACAAAGCTATGGGCCACTGAACCAGGTTCACTGAAACCCTTGATAGTTAATGAACCTACGCCTGCATGCAACTGCTCGCCTGAGAGCAAATATGACTTCTGTGACGTGCAAGTGGCTCGGACGTCAAGGCCTCAGAACGCCTGCCCTCTGCGGTGAGGCAGACAACGGTTCTTCTGTTCTGATGCGACTTCCTCCAACCATTTCAAATCCCGCCTTTGCTAAACCCCCTGTGCTTTTAATCTTCAGCCATGGCAGCTGCAGCGTGCTGCGAAAACCTGCCAAGCATCGCACCATCCCCGACTTCTCCAGCACCATTACGTCATCTAGGAACAAAAAGTGCTAAAGCAAGGAGAGGCATGCGAAGGCAGCAGCAGTGAGGCTGTGGCAAAGGGGGGCTTCTTCCCCGTGACAGCTTCCCCTGGAAGTGCACTCTGACGTGGGGTCTTACTGCATGAAAGGTTTACCAGATGCACATCAAATGCATTGTCGCAAATACGTGACGGCGCCACATTTCACCATATTACCCATATAATACTCATCATCCAAGAGCCACCCAAAAATCCTTCACTGATTTGTCTCGCAGTGGCATTTGCTAAAATAAATCCCGCTCGTGCAATTCAAAGGGGCACATAATGCAACAGCAAGGTTTTGCGAGACCCCTGTTTTGCTCCCCCAGGCACTACAAGGCACAGCGGAACAGTAAAGCATGTCACGACAGACAGAACGAAACCCGTGCAGCCACTGCATGTTAATGAAGACACGCAGATTAAGGCAGCAGAGGAGATTCAATTGTCCTAGCTATTCTTGATCTGTGCCAGAGTCGGCTGCTTTTTTTTTGGGGGGGGGGGCTCTTTGACTGCCATTCCAGCAGTAAGGAGCACTCCCAACACGCACAGAAAGAGTGGCAAGTCATGCTAACTTAGTTCCTCCACGGTGCCCTGTGTCAAAGCATGAGTGAAATCCAGCTGGAAAGAGTTCATCTTTCAGTTCAGTCTTCTTACTGCTCACCAATCACTCGCCTTTGTTCTCTCACACTGCACGGCTTTAGACTGCTGAAGTAAAGATCATACCCACCAGTACAATGGGGATTTCTGGTCGATTTTGCCCATTAAACCAAAGTAATTCAAGATGACTTGCAGATGAGAATGGAGAAAACTCAGCAGAACTGTTAACCATGTAAGCTGTGAGGAGCACATATGAGTATGAAATTGTGTATGTTAGTCGTCGTTTTGTTGTTTAATTTAGTGAGAAAATAAACATAATTAAATTGCATTAAAACACTCATTTTCAGGCTCCTGCTGTTCCAATACATCTGTTTATCTGTGCAGATTTGCAGCAGAATGCAAATTCTAATAAAAAGTGATGAGCGAAATAGATCACAAAAAAATGAAAGATTATCTTTCTTTTGTGAATTACTTTTAAGGGGGTACATTTCAGTCATTTCTATATTTTAGCTTTTATCCAGGCTGGGATATTAAAATCTGACTGGCACTTTTAATAACGTTGTTTAATAGGCTAGATCTTTTCCTTCCTGCATGTCTGATCCCCACCAAACCAATATTTCTCCTGCTTAACGTGGGTTTTCACAAGGTTCAACTAGTGTTGCATTTCAAACATACTGTACATTTTTGCTCGATTTAAAAACTTCATAGCTTGTCAAACATCCTTAAAACGCTAAAATTTCTACCATTTACAAATGTATGGTGGAAATTCTCCAAACATCAGCACCTATGCATTGAATATCTTCTAAAACAAAAAAGATTTTTCCCCTTGCTTTCTGTGAAAAGAGATGTTGACTGTCATAAACCCCAAAAAATAATACACTTTATTTTATTTTAAAGCAGCAGATTTTCACTGTATGAACTGCAGGGGCACAGATTGATGGAAGCAATCTGGGACCAAGCTAAAATCCGTAAACGTTCCAGTGCGCTGTTATGTTTGCATCGTATTCTCAGGGCCCTGTTGTACAATCAACGTGAGATGCCGTTTAAAAGTTCCAAGATCTGTTTCCCTATTCACATTTTTTCTTACAATCACTCAGCTGTTGAAAGCATTTTACCACACTGACAACCCTGCCGTGAGTACAATGCGCTTGAGTGCTCAATGCAACTGCAGAGATGATTGTAAGAGAAGACACTTGTCAAAATGAAACTGGGGGTCTAAGAGGTGGCTCCTGGAGGGGCTTGGTGCAGGACTGAGCAGTCCTGGTCCTTTGGGGGGGGTCTGCAGGGTTTCGTTCTGTCTCATTTTTAACCTCCATCAGTTGTTTTGGCCTTGATCGGACTAATTTAACATCTCCCAGCTCTCCATGTGCTGCTGTGCTTCTAAGAGACTTAGAAAACCTGCAGACCGCAGACACAGAGTCAGATATACCTCTAGTACCTAAGCTACCCACTCCTGGTCCGATGTCCGAGTTTGTTTTTTGTTCCACAATGTGTAATCAATTAAAGACCTAATCACATCATTTACTCGGGGAGCCATCCATAGGATGTTTCTTATATCAGGCGATTTACTCCAAACGTTCACTTCAAGGTGAGAATGTGAATTCTCAAAACTATTCACTTCAATGTACAGTTGCCTACACAACGCCTCACAATCCTGATAGAAATATTCCAATTAGTCCTATTATGTAACTGACTGTTCAGGTGGAACAAAAACCAGTAGACACTGAGCCCTTCAGGAGCTGTTAAAGAGCAGTCTTAAACAGTCTCATTCTCCAGTTTTTCATGTTGTTGTAATTCTGAAAGGAAAAAAATGCACGCATGCAAATAGGTCAAGAGAACTTCCCATACAAAGAAAAAGGTTCTTAGTCCACAAATAACGTGTCAGACATCACTGACTGCAGCGTGAAAGCTTTAATCGCACAGTAAAGGATTTGCGCTATGCTAAAAATGACGAGTACTCGAGCCAAGCAAGTTATTCCATTAATAAAACGGAAGCCAGGACATTGTCATTACATCAGTCCATACAAGCACACGGTTTCCCTGTAAATAAAATGTAGCCGGTCCTCTCTTAAATACACACACAACATAATACAAAACCTTTGCAGTGGAAATCTGATATCGTTCTGGTCCCCACAAACCAAAATATGCCATTGGACTATAAGATGTCGAAAACGTAAATGAAAATGCATTATGACGACTATTTTACTACAAAGTGCCCCCAAATAAAAAAAGGCATTATGCTGTATTTTGTACAATCATCCCTTTTTGCAGAACGGATTCTACCCTTACTTAAGACCAGATCCGTCACACACAAGTAAGAAGCAAGATACAAGTCAAAAGGGTTTTTTCTTCATTTCGGGAGACTTCAAGGTTACCAAATGATTTAAAAAAATAATAACACACGTAGCAATGACAGTAAACCGCCAGAATTACTCTACCTTCATGACAACGCTCGCTGGTGAATTTTCTCCACTAACACTAATAGGCTGACCATGGCAAAGAACGGCAGGAATCTCTTCTCTACGTCGGCGTCCCCCGTCACTGCCAGGGACTTCTGCAGAGCCGCGCGGATAAAGGACGGGCGTTCCGCCAATCCCAGCAGCCGCCGCGCGCCCCTGATCCGCACCGGCCAATGCGCCGCGCGCTCGGCGGCGGCGCTCCGGGTGTCGGGTGGGCACGGGCAGCCCGGGCAGGCGACACCGGCCCCGGCTCCGGCTGCACGGGCACCGCGCGGCGGGTGCGCCAGGACCGCATTTGTCAATACAACCGCGACGAGGCATGCACTGTGTCTCAGCCGCAGACATTTTGAAGAAGTTTATCGCACCCTTATATAACACTTGTCGGCGGCTCGAGGGTCCTATAATTAGAACACCGTGGTCGGGAGGGAATTAAAACGTCATTTCTCTCTTTTTTTTTATTGAGGTCACCGGATAACATGCCCCCTGAATATATGCGACGTGTCTGTGACAATGACTCTGTGTTTGTGAAAGACGGCACAAAACGCGACGTTCGCACTGCAGTTAAAATGTCCGAGTTGCAGAAGATGCACGCTTTCCCACACCATGACGTCATTGGAAGCGAACGCGAAGTCGAAGGGTTAAAAAGATGATGAAAAAAAAATCTGTTTCCTACAGGCAGCAAAGCAAGTTGACCGTCTTAATTTTAGATGTTTTTTTTTTAGTAAGCAGTAGCTTATTCGCAGATCCTATTAAAAAAAAAAACTTTAAAGAGGCGATTTCGTGCTGTTGTCTTGACGGAACAAATCTTAGTCCTTCCGCCTCCTGCTCAAATTAATGAATATCTTAGAACTGAAGTGGCCTTTCAAAGGTTCTCGAGACGTCCTGCTCAATTATGGAAATTGAGGCTTACAAGTTACTCAGTGCAAAGCATTTTGTCCACTAAGAGGTTTCTTGCATTCCTATAAACATGATAAATCATAATTAGCAAACGATAATTTTTTAAACAGCGAGCCTTCTCTGGGTTTACGTTATTGGTTCATTAGAAGTAACATTTAATTAACTACATAGTTTATTAAGTATATAGTTAGATTATGTTGAAAAATAGCTCAGCTTACCGTTTCAAACAAGGTGGTTAATGCATTGCCTTTGTAAAATTATACCGCAGTAAAATATTAAAAGCCATTTTAATATAACTTACTTTAGTAAAGTTTAATAATCGTCATTAGCTAAACAAAACGTGTTTGGTAACGTACAATGTCTCAGGAGCCAGAAGATTAGATTTTAAACAGATTTTATTTAGAAGTAGCCGAACACTACTCAGTTATGCTCCTCGTCTCCCAGCAGATTGATTTTGTAATGTCTATACTACCCCCATGAAAATGATTTTCTATAGTTACCTGATAGACGATTCACTTCTTGCTTTGCTTTGCAGAAAAAAAAAACTTAATTTCCCTTCAAAGACCTAAAACAAATAAAGTAATTTGATGTAACGCCTGCATTGAAACGTTATGTTGGTTGGAATAGTATTTGAAATGTAAGCTTTGATAGATTTGCTAATTTGTAGATAACAGTAGAAAAAACAATAACGGCATGTCATCTAAGAAGCTGAAATAAGTGTCTTTTCCATCGAGAGCTTATCCAGCCTTTTCCCAGCCCATTCTTGCAATCCAGGGTCACGGGGGAGCCGGAGTCTATCCCGGCAAACAACAGACACAAGGCGGGGTACACCCTGGACAGGACGCCCGTCCAGCGCAGGGCCAGCTTTCCCAGAAACCAGTTAACCCACCAGTATGTTTTTGGACTGTGGCTCGAAACGCCCGCCACGGGGGAGCATACAAACTCCATGCAGACAGAAACCCAGACCCAGTATTGAACCCCGGCCTCCAGCTCTACGAACTGGCGGCGATATCAGCTAAAGCCATTTTTATCAAAAGCTTCAGAGTAGAAAGACGACGAGGGCTTAAAAGCTGGAATCATTTTAAAATGGGGAAATTGTGTTAACGACGATTTAGATTTAGCTTGCGCATTTTGCCTATCGTACGTAGTTTATCTTAAAAATACATTATCCAGTGTTTAAAACAATTGCACTGCAACAACCGTGACAATGTCAACGCCCCTCTGTCGAAACGTTTAAGAGAAAATTTGTCGTTAACTTACAGCGGTTAATCAATCGCAGAGTAATCGATATAAAGCGGCCGCCGCAAACACATCGATTTCTCTTCCTCACTGTTGACTCCCCGGCGAAGGATTGTGGGAAGCGCGGCTGAAGGCGTGGTTATGTTGGTTCATGTGCAGTGGGGGTTTCGTCTTGGCAATTACAAACATCTGTACGTATAAAAAAATCAAGTTCAGTCTGATGTAGTCTGTGATACGTAGCGTCTTTGCTGCGGATATGTAAGTTCTGGGAGAATATTTGCTGCTAACGCCGTGTTTATTCTGACAGGGAAGCAGCATGCATTCAACAGTGAATTGCTGAAACGTTTTCGCAAGCGATCATAATCGTCATTCGTTTTTAGCTGCTGGGTGCTTTCTTGCCATGGCGAGTGTTCACGAGAGTTTGTATTTCAACCCCATGATGACAAACGGGGTCGTCCACGCTAACGTGTTTGGGATAAAAGACTGGGTGACCCCCTATAAAATCGCCGTGCTGGTGCTCCTGGACGAAATGAACTCCTCCAAGTGCATTAGCCTCCTGGAGCGCAGACGTTTGAACAAACTCATCTTGCCTCTCCAGCAGGTAAAATAATGTAGGACTGGGATTGGGGATTGGGGATTGGGGATTGGTGTGGGGGGGCGTTCATTTGTTTTTGAAGAATGGGGCTCTGTAGATGTCAAGAATAAAAGATAAGAACTCGTGTGCAAGTGACAAGCTGGAGAGATAATGAAAGGAGATCTGGATCATAAACTCCTTTTTGTATTTTTTTTACATTAACTGCCTTTGCCCATCAGAGAGAAAATAAAAGTTGTGAATCGTACCCACCATCTTAAGGGATCTATTCCTCACAATTACAACGTTACCGTTTCGGGAAATTCGTTTTAACGAGTTAGATTGGTAGTTTTGCTTTGTGTCGCACAGTGTCGCAAAATGTCCACTTACTGTAGGCAGATAGTCTCACAATTATGTAACGCTGAGGTGCAAAATATAGGAGCTTGGAATGCTTTAAAATGACTATTTTATAAAAAATAATAAACCTGGACAGAAAATAACACTTAAGTATAAGTGCCATAAAAGCGATTTGCGATTTTGTTATGACACTGACATGTTGAGGAGTGAATGCATGTTTAAGTTGTGATTTTGCACTTTTAAACCACGCTGAATCCCTTGAACCCAATCATTATGTTAAATTGGAGTCTTATTCCGACAAGGAAATCTTGTTTTCAGGGCCCAGACATGACTCTTGCTCAGCTCTTGAAAACTGTGGAGGAGTGCTGTTCTCAGCTGGCATATGCTGTGAAGTTAAGGTGAGGTGTTTTAAGATAAAAAGCTTTTGTTTTATATTACAAAAATGAGACATGTCATTCATGAGACATTTGATACAGAAAATGTTTGATACCAGTTCATTTTCTTGAATGTTCCATCTTGTCTTCTTTATGCCTTTTCACAAAATACTGTAGGATTACTGTACATACACTGTCTGTGGTGGGATTTCTTTGAGTAAAATTATTTTTTTTCATGTGCAATTCCTTGAAGGCTGCATGTGATGGCAGAAGGGGAATTGAAGGATATGGAGTCTTTTTTTGATACACTTCCTAATCCTTTTAATGAGAGGGATTCAGAAGCCTACAAAACCAGTGTTGTTGGTAAGTAATACAATACTTGTGACCCAGAGAATTATTGTTCAAACATATCTCAATTTGATCTCAATTTACCTTGTATGTGTTAATGATCACAGAGGAGTTTGGTCATTTTTATACTTTGATTTTGTGGGCTTTGGTTGCCTATTTCAATTTTATTAATTATCTGGACAACTGTCAAGCTTCCCAGCAAACGTCATGCTCTGAGAATTTCAGTTCTCTAGAATGAAATACAAATGTTACTTGTTAGAATAGTCGTTTCATCTAGGAGACACCATAGTATAAATAAGGCATACTGTTCATGAAAAGCAGTTCAGACTCATTTGATGCAGGAGAGGGATGAGCTGTCTTTAAAATTAACAGATTAGGAGATGTCAAGCCCAGTGATAGCCCATCAGAGGACATATTTCCCCTGTTTATTCCACTACATGGCAACCCTTTGCTCCAGCTAGCTGAGCCTTAAATAATGGATCTTCAGTAGCAGGCTCAGTGAAGTACAGTATGCATCAAACTTGAATGACCTGGTAGAGCAAGGTTTGCTCACCCAGGCCCGGTGAGCTCTTGTCTCCAGTTTCTCATGGATGACGGCCGTGTGTTGCCTTTCTAGGGCTGTTTGTGAGGCACATGCTGTTGGCCTACAACAAGCTGTCTTTCAGCCAGGTGTACAAGCTGTACACCGCTCTGCAGCAGTACTACAGTCACTACTACCAGGGCGGGGAGGAGAAGTCGGGTCCTGCCTTTCAAACGGCTGATGACACCGACATGGACCTGACCAACCCCGAGGACACAGGGGGGAAGATGGAGAAGGAGGAGCTGGACTCTTCACCTGGGCAAGTGCAGTCAAATCACACCTGCAAATCAGATTTCAATGTTTAATTCAATGTACCATTGCGTGAGAGTGAAGTGTCATCTATTCCAAGCCGCTAAAGAAATGAAAGACCTATCGTGATTGTAATTCAAACCCAAGAGCGTTAAATTTGAAGTGTGATTATAAATATTAGTAAACAGTGATGAAAGCTTATTACTATATATGAAATGCATTTCCATGTTTAAATCTCTATGGAAATTACAATATATTATTATTGCATCATAATAACATGCATTGCACTGTTTACGAATTATTTAACATAGTGAAGGGATATCTAGAATACTAGTATTATATCTACTCTGTTGCGAAATTTGTTTTAAAATTTTATTTGGAAAGGAGTTTGATATATACTTTTTAATTTTTAATTTAAACAAACGTTTATAACCAGCAAAAGTGTTTATCTTTGTGTACGCTGTTTTGTGGTGCCAGAAATTTAATACAAATCTGCAAGTTCTGAAGTCTGTGTGTTATGCATGGTCTTACTATAACACTTAGCTGGTGGCCAGCCCTACACGTTTTATTGCTCTTGAATCTCTGACCTGTTTTTTTTATTTTGTTTTTGGTAGAGATGAGAATATCCCCAGCAGAGGCCCACTTTCTCAGAAGCAGGCAGAGTACTTCCTTGCCAGACAGGTTAGTATTCCCGCTGCTGGTATTACAAGGTCAGTAGTACAATAGCACAGCCAGAACCATCTGTGTCTTCGTGGGTCTTAATGCCCCAGTATAGTGATGGGACACTATACTGTTGCAACACTCCATGGATAGTGAAGGGCATGACAAGGCACAGAAAGGTGTCATGGCCATCCACTGCAACCAAGGAAGTCTCCAGTCGTGACGACGGCTCGTACCGCTGGACCCAGGCTTCTGAGGTCGAGAGAGTGGGACAGCCCCAGTGCCACAGCTTTCCAACTTCAAAAAGCTCTCCTGCACTGGTTTCTTCATGCAGCTCATCCTTCAGACAGATGAGCAGCACAAAGTACAACCTTCATCGTCGGACACTACGGACAACCATCGGATATGATCCACGTGTCACGGTGAAGGAGATTTTATTATGTCAAGAGCAGGACAGAACGTATATTTATAACCAACCCACAAAGTCAACTGCTAGCCGGGTCATAATATCCTCTCTCCCAGACTCGGATGGTAAAAAAAAATAAAATAAAATCACAGACTCTTTAATACAAAGACATGGTACTATACAAGTGGCACAAAACTAATGTGTAACTAAATTAAGCAGCGCGGACCCAGACTGACCCATGAATTCCGACTCATTTTTTGTGAAAGCAATCTATATGTGCCTTACGAAAGAGCCCCATGCATTTTTTTCATTTCTGAAAAAAGCTGTCTCCTCTTCCAGGCATATTTGTTGAAAAACGACGAAAACAAAGCTCTGGCACCAGCAGCTCTGCAGGAAGAGCTTAACAACATGCTGAAGTTCAATCCTGATTTTGCCGAAGCGGTGAGGCTCAGCTCTGTTCTTAAAACTGTTTTGGGTTCCATTTTCTTATCGCAACATTTATGTGTAAAACACATTCCCCATAGTGACTTCTGTTTTGATGGTGCTGGTAGTTTTTTAGGCCGTTGCTAATGTGCAGACAGAGCCGTGGGGAAGAACAGGCTGTAGGAAGAGCAGAGTAACACTTTTTCTCTGCATTAGATCCGTCAGACAATGTGCAGCGTGTGTAATGAGTTGAGGCAAGTTGTGGGATAGAACATTCTACAGAGTTGGAATTCTAATAATAACAGCAGCCTGTCAGAGCTGTTAAATCACAACCTGTGACACATGGGATCTCCGGTGTCTTTTCTTCGTGTCTTCCCAGTCTCTCATTCTCCTCCTTGACAGAGGGCAAACTTGTTAAAGGGGTGAAACGGAAACAAACTTAACAATCAAACCGGTTTAACCCTTCTCCTAACAAGGGGTGGGTGGTCTTCTTAGACTGCAGCTCAGTCTTATCCTTCAGTAGTCGTTATTTCCGATGCCCCTCAGCGGTCTGGGATCATCTTAATGAAATACAGCAAATCTACGTATGCGGGCGCCCTGCTATTTTTTTTAATGCCATCTTTAAATGCCGTTTTGTTTTTCCGAGACCGCACTATAAGAACGATGTAAAGGGCGAAAGCAGTCGGGATGACACTGATGTTTCTGAATTCCTGCTTTCTTCCCCTCCCGTAAAGCACTATCTGAGCTACCTGAACAGCATGCGTGTCCAGGATGTGTACATCTCCACGCTCAGCCTCCTGCATTACTTCGACCGGCTCATCCTCGCGGGGGGAGATGGCAAGAGCAGTGGGGACGAGGGCTGTGGCCGCAGCCTGCGCTACGCCGCCCTGAACCTCGCGGCCTTGCACTGCCGCTTCGGCCATTAGTAAGCCCCTCTCCGAACCCGGGTCCGCTGCACGGGACCAGCTGTTCCTCCAGACGGCGCTGCTCTCGCTGGAGCCCGATTGAGAATGGGAGGAACTCGTGTGTAGATGCTTAATGCCTGGGGAAATCGACGGTCGGATTATCCTGGAATCGGTGCAAATTATTTGCCGCAGATGTTGACTAAGCGCAGTCTTGGCCTTCCAGAGTTTATTTTTGGTTGATCTCCAGATATTTCTGGATATTAGAATCGCATTCTTTTTATTTATTCATTTAAAAATGAATTATTGTTCATTTTTAACGGAGGTTTGTTTTTTCATTTGTGTTCTTTTTTTTTTTTATTTAAGGTTTCATTTCAGATCTGTTTTTCCAGATGTGCACCGGTGGTCTTCTGAGCACAGAAAAGATGTATAGATGTTGAGGGGGAGATTTTCTGCCATCATAATGTTTCCTTAGCTCACGTGTTACAGATTATACACTGCCTGTTATTTGCCTATAAACGCTATGTAAAAACAACAACATTCTCACTGTTGTTTAATGTCAGTCAACAGGCAGAACTGGCTCTGCAGGAGGCCATCCGTATTGCCCAGGAGTCGAATGATCACATCTGCTTGCAGCACTGTCTGGTATGACCTGCACAGACTCTCTTGTGGAGGGGAGGGGGAAGGTTCAGAGGAGAATTGATCAGTCACTCAACAATGGTCAGCAAGTAGTAATTAGGATTGTGTTTGTTACGGGCAAAGATTAGAATTTTGAGATGCGGAAATGTAAAGATGTTTTATACTATGATTTTGATGTTGGTTTCATATTCATCCCTATATGTTCAGTATATTCAACTGTTTGCCTCTTCCGTAACATGATCTTCAGCTAAAGGGTATACCTGTGTTTGCTGTGTGTGTCAGAGCTGGCTGTACCTGCTGGAGCAGATGAAAGGGTCTGACAGCACTGCCCTAACAGAGGACTCCGTGAAAATGGCAGTGCACTTCTGCTTACCGGTAGGGCTGATCAGATGGCGATAAATGGGCGAATACCCCCTGCTGGGACAAAAAAACAAGTGAACCCTGGGGTCCTTGCTCCAGCGTCCTATAGAATCTCACGCTTTTATTTCACTTGTAATCTGACTTCCTGTCCGATTCTGTACAGTCCAAGTAGGGATGGAACATAAAGTAAATGGGTAAAAATGCTCTTGTGAATGACTGTGCCCTCATATCTTAATATCCTCCTAGCGCAGATAGTGTCATTCGTGTTCCTCTATTTTGAGGTCCAGTTGCGTTTGCTGTGCTTACATCAAACGTTCTGTGTGACTGCAGGATTGTACCAAACAGGCTTGACGCATGTTTTATTTTGGTCGGCGATTAAAATTTTAAACGTGCATTTACTGTGATATAATAGAAAAATAATATAAATGTAGGCACTTCTGCCCGTCTAGCATCATGGAAACCCTTTTTAAACTGTGGTACATATTCTTCTTTTACCTTCTTTGCTTCCTCACAGAAGGATTCTAATTATATTTTCTTTTCCTCTTTTAGTATTTGGCTTCACTTGGAATTCAGTCTTTAGTACAGCAGGGGGCGATCAGGGGTAAACCTGCCAATAAGCTGATGGAGGCTTTGAAGGACACTGACGTACTGCACTGGAAACACAGCCTTTCAGAGCTGATCGACATCAGCTTAGCTCAGAAGACAGCCATCTGGAGACTGTATGGAAAGAGGTGGGTAATATATCAAGAAATGATCTGGAGCTTCATTGTAATGTATTCATGGTTGTCTGTGACAGGGATGGCACATGTGAAAGTGAAATTGAGTTTTCTGTGCCATTTGCCTGCAAAATTGATTGCGTTGGTATTTTTTGCGTTTCACAAAAATACCATCTCTATTGTTAGATGATGTGGTTGTTTATAATGATATTGTAACTTATAATTCTGATGGTTAATGGAAGCCTTAAGATTACTTCAAGTTCTCTGCTTGGCCCTCTCCACCGGTGGTGTTTCATGGGGGGAGCCCAGTTTTCTAGATGTGGGGGCCCAGGGGTTGTTCAGAGCCCTCTGTGTTTCTGTGTGGTCTTCCAGCACCATGGCTTTGCAAGAGGCGCAGCTGCTTCTGAACATGAACAGCCTGGAGCCGGTGAACTTTGGGGTGCAGCAGAACAACACGGAGGCCTTTGCCGTGGCCCTGTGTCACCTGGCGGAGCTGCACGCCGAGCAGGTGAGACCAGTGCAGCTCGCGGGCCTCGGCTTCACTTGTCGCCTCGTGTGTTTGCTCTGGATGCCTCTTCTTCCACGAGCCCCTTTCCTGAAATCCAGATCTGGGGAATGGCGTTCACCTGTGCTTTTTGTCCCCCTCCCCCTGAGTCGTTACCTTGCTCGGGGGCCCAACGGAGTAGGATTCCTCTGCCGGCCGTGGGATTTGAACCGGCAACCTTCCAGTCACAGGCGCAGATGCTCACACGTTACAGAGCCACTGCTCCGCCCCGCCTGATCCCTGTAGGATCTAAAAGCACGTGCCAACATAACATCGCCAAGCCCGGGCTCTTATTTTCATCCCATCTCCATCTCCAGGGTCTGTTCGGCGCAGCTTCTGAAATCCTGGAGCACTTGAAGGAAAGGTTCCCTCCTCACACTCAGCACGCCAAGGTAAGGAAGGCTTATTCTCAACAGCATTCCACTACTTGGAAGCTAATTTTCCTAAAGCCGAAAGCTTATCTTAGCTTGGTCAAGCTGTTTTCGTCATGTAAGGGAAGTTAAACTGTGCCACTTCAATTTAATAGACAAGACAGTTGCCGTTCATAAACTCAGTGGTTCCCAACCTTCATCCTCTCATAGATCCCTGTTTTCTGCTTTTCATGCCAACCGGGATTTTAATTACTTCACTTTTAATTGGTCTCTACTTGCTTTTCAAGACCTCTTGTTTTCTGAAAGCAGTTTGTGATGGGCATCAACCCTGCACCCATTTGTGTTTGGAAGCAGATAGACCCATCCAGAATCAATAGTGTTGTTTGTGCTAGTGCCCGTATCATTCCCACCAGTGATGGGGAATTAATTGGTAATTAATTGGTGCCCTATTAAGATTTGTTTAGATAGAAATTGAGGAGCCTCCACTCAGCACCAGTCTTCACTTAATGTCTTTGGGAAGGGGAACTTCTTGCACCTGGAACTTTTGGGAATGAGTAAAGGATTTCCGTCGGTGAGTTTCATTGCCCTTCTCTGCAGCTGTGGATGCTGTGTGACTTGAAGATTCAGTTTGAGAGGGCCATGAATGATGGGAAGCACCACTTTGCAGACTCCTTGGTGATGGAAATAGCTGCCCTGAATGAGACCGAGGGTTTGTACAGGTGAGAGACCTGCTGGCTTGTGCGTTGATGCTGTTCTGGACTTGAATCTGTTGCACTCCAAAGAATATCTACTGTGTAATATTATAGGTTTATACTGTATTTCATCTTGTCATCTGTTTCAAAAAATGTGTAGAAAAAATGAAATAGTAATACATTTAAGGCATTTACCCTTGCTTAGGAATTTTATAACCTAAGATGAACTCTTTCAAGTGGAACCAACACAGCCCTGGTCTTGTTTGTTGAGTGACCACCCATGAAAACAACCAGAGGTGCTGACTTTTCAGAGGCTCTTTCAGTGCTCATTGGAAGAATGAGAATAAACAGGTGTTTTTCTCTTTTGAGTAGGAAAGCGCTTGTGTTGAAGGCTCAAAACCAAACCACAGAGGCCTATAAAATTCTCCAGAGATTGCTGCTTTACTGTGAGAAGACAAAGTGCACAGAAATGGTCATTAGGTAAGTTTCCGTCTCCACATCTTCTGATATTTCTCCAGTTTTGTATTTGCGCACTTACTATATGTTTAAATCATTCAAACAAAAACATTTTGGAGATTCCATTTGCCCGTTTCGTGAAATCGCCGATTCCACGATGAACGCTTGCCCTTGTGTGTGGGTTACCAGCAGTGCGGTGTTGTCGTTGCAGGGTAATGCTGTCGGTTGCCGAGCTGTACTGGCAGTCCTCCTGCTATGCCACTGCCCTGCCTCTGCTCCTGCAGGCCCTGGCACTGGCCCGGCAGTACAACCTGCAGTACCTGGCCTCCGAGACCATCCTCCACCTGGCTTTCTCGCAGGTCCGATCCCTGTTACAGCTGCCAGGTGTACCTTGTGTGAGAGGCCACATGTAAACTGTACAGCTCCCTGTGCTTTTTAAAGCAAGCTTGTGATACTGGGTTCCATGTCAAATGGAAATGATAAAGGTCTTCCTTTTTACTCATAACTGACTCATTTATTTACCTAGCTTTCCTGAGCTGGCAGCTGAAGCTTGCAGTCTAGGTTTAGGGGTGATGGCGAATCACTTAAGGGTAGTTAAGCTTCCGAAGTGTTAATACAGTGTAGGGGTAGTGGTTAATTTGAAAATATTTTGCATATTCTTTTTTTTCCCACCTTACAGAGATCATGTTGGGGAAAACTAGTAGCACATGGCGCAGTTTTCTGTGTAACCCTACCCTATTTGTGACATACTGTATTGCAGTATGTCTTTTATAAGCTGTACTTCAGTCAGTCCTCACTTCTGAGCTTGATTATCACATGCTGTAACGCTGTAATGTCATTTCCCTGAACCACACCGTACTGGAAGAGCCCAGTTTCAAATGGCAGCTGTGTCTCTGGATCTAATAGAAGTGGAGTCTGAAAAGCTCCACTGCTGTTACATCCCGTAGTTGGCCGTAGTTGGATTTTTTTTTTTCCTTTTCTTTTCCTGTAGCTCATGCTTGGAATTCCAGAGCAAGCTTTGAACATCCTGCACATGGCCATAGAGCCCATCCTGGCCCACGGAGCGGTGATGGACAAGGGCCGGGCCATGCTGTTGGTAGCCAAATGCCAGATTGCCATTTCTGCTTCAGAGCCAGTGAAACAGAAATCCCAAGGTGCATTTCTAAATGTTGTCGCCTTTTTTGCTAATCTTTCTGAAACAAAAAAACATCGTCTGAGGTTGATTGCCTGAAAGTTTGCTAGAGTGGTTCTCAAACTGCAAATACTTTGGGATGGTTTTTAATTTCTTAGGGAGACAGTTATGTACAGGTATAACAAAAAGGATGCTACCCTGTTCTTGAAGTCATACATAGTGGCAATGTTATGGTGAGGTTCTTAGAGGGTTGCAACGTTGGATGGTAAATCAAAAGATTCAGTTTAGTTCATTTTTTCCCCCCACAGTAAGAGAATCCTGGATCATTTATAGACCACTCATCAGGAGGTTCCAAGTGGTTTTCATTTTAACAAGCCACACACAAAGAGTAGGCAAACATTTGTTCACAGCTCCCTAGCTGAGCTGTAAAGAGTTACCCAGGTTAATTTCTCAGTTTGTGCCACTGATGGAGCATGCAGCGCTTGTCCCCCAGTGTTGACCTCTGTCATGCTCTGTTTCCAGCTCTGGAGGTGGCTATTCAGAGCCTGGACGAAGCCCGGACGTATTTTGTGAAAGTGGACTGCAAGGAGAGGCTGCGTGATGTCTTTTACCTGCAAGCAAGGCTGTACAATTCCTTAGGAAGGACTGCGGAGAGGAATGAGTGTGCCATGCAGTTCCGCCACCTGAACCAGGAGCTCCCCTCTCACGGAGTGCCTCTGATCACCAGGCTGTGAGGAGCAGGTACTGCTTCTGAGGAACACACTGCCTCCAGTTAGCAAGGAGCCCATGTCTTTAGTGTTAATGACAGAGTTATTAACCAGCTGACTGAGAATATTTCAACACAGCAGCTAACCTTTGAGGTGCCAAAGTACATGGGAGTGAATTACAGGACAGAATTACAGAACGTCTTCATTTTTTTTGTCACGTACCCTGCATTTTCTTTAATAAAATGAATTGGCATATGAGATGTTTACACTTGAAGGGTTTTGTTATTAGAAAAATAAAGATTTTAAAAACGTGTATCTAAGAGCAGTCCATACAGGGGGTAGAAATTGTTTTTCCCAACCCTCTGCACCATTTGTGAAGTGCACTTTTTTTTTGTTTTCCGTTCTTGACGAAAGTGATTCGCCATCAAGTCAAAGAGCTAAAAACACTGCCAGCTGCTAGCAGTTCTTCAGGCCTCCAAGAGCAAAGGGCAAGACAGGTCTGCGAAGAAAGATCCAGGTTTCGTATTCTTTCCAAAAATCGGATTTCTCTTGAGGGACACCAGTGGTTGATTGGGTGACGTGTTCGGTTCGTCTTTGTTTTCTGCATCCGCGCTGCCACGCTGACTGTCCCACGAGCTCTAAGAGCTGCCCCACACTGCCGCAGAGCCATGCTGTATGGCAGTAGTAGTCACTGGGTCCAAACCAGTTAAGCTCTGTGCTTTACTGTGCAGTGGTTTGCGTGTATCGGGTGAAAACAGAACTGTAGGCTCTTGTGTTGTAGATCCCAAACCATGGCAGATACCAGTGAGCTCTCGGCTTTCCATTCTGTGAAATCTTCAGCACCTGACCCTCAAGTACAGTGGATTTGAAATAATAGGAGAGCAGCAGAGTCAACTGCCTAAGTAACCAAATGACCACTTATTAGTCTAGTGGGGGTGTACTCAAGACATTGATAAGTTTAGCTCTCAAGACATTACCTGTGTAGCCGCATGGAATGGTTACAGTACAGGAACAGTTTCCACCATATTTTCCTAATAGCCTCTGTCTCTCTAGTATTTCAAGTACTCTAGTCTCCGTTCTGCCTGCCTGGCCAATGAATGCAGTTGTTGAACATCTTTGTCATCTTTGTTTGACTTGCTTGTCAGACATTTCAACAGTGCTGCCCCATCGTGGGCAGCACTAACGCATTACAGGAGGGGCTGCTTTTGCAAGCTCTTGCCACTTTGAGTCCAGGACTTGTGCTGCAATGGGGAAAGCTGTCCAGGACTGTATGTGGCTGGCACTCCAGCTCTTTTAATTGTTTATTTATGAGGGCCAGCATTTGATGCACATCCCACATTTAATGGCTGTTCTGTCCCAGGATGCCTCTGTGATATGACCTTGGTCTGTGACCACCAGCAGTTTTCAAACTGGGTATTCCCACTATTAGGAAATGGGGAAAAAAAATGAAATAAAAATGCATATAATAGCAATAAGATACCAGTTACCAACAGACAAAAATTCTGTTGGAATAACATCACAAAATTAGACACAGCTGGTCACTAGGTGTCACTGCATCCTAATACATTTGCTTTCCTATTAATCTGGATTTAGATTAGAGCTCAATTGTTTCTCATTCTCTTTAGACTTTAGAGTTCCAGTGTATGTCACGAGATTTATATGGCACTAGATTTAAAGCGTGGTATTGGGTTATATATATCACCATTCATGAGTGATTACACAAGCAATAGTTTTTCTGAAATGATCACTAATAGTTAAAATCATTGAGTTTTTAAACAAGGCATTTTGTCCTCCCTTAAATGAATAGTGAGAAACTTTCAGAAGGTTTCTGCTCTTGCAAGATCAGGCGAGCTGCCAGTTGTGCTTTATTTTAGGAAGCTATGTAGATATTCAGATGCAGGGTGAAATACAAATGTAATGGTGTGGTTAGAATGAAGCCTTTGTAATTTTATGTGGATGACATGAAGTGGCTCTTTTATTTGAAAATTTGACCTTTCTCAGTGTGTTGAATACCACAATCGAGTATATAAATTGACTTGGATTCTGTTTTCAGTCCTTTGCTCCCTTGGTATTTGGCTTTTGTGTTACAAGATGTTTATCAAGACTTAATTTTAGTTTTAACATTAACTTTGTTTTTGTGAATCTTTCTCAATGCCCCAGTTGTTTTTTTTTTCACTGCAAATGATGTTGAATAGGGAAACCTAAACAATTTGGGGTTTTTGTTCCACCTGAAGAACTCCAGAAGATGTTGTGTTCATACAAGTTCAATCTTGCTTTTGTGAGCTTTAGGACGCATTTGCATTTTCATTTGCTGAGATTCTGTTTTTTCTTTTTTCATGTTGTTTTTTTTCTTTTTGAAAATGTTTAAAGTTAAAGTTCATTGTTGCGTTTGGATAATTCTTAAAAAAAATATTGGATCTTTTTCAGACAAAATACCTGTCTTAAAATTCCAGGAGCATGTTTGGGGACAGATGTCCTGACTTGCATTACCAGATGAGTTCTCCAAAATACTAGTGCACATATGCTTTTTATGTGGGTTCGTACTGACTGAGTGCATTTGAGCGGTTTATACTGTAGATTTGCCAGTGACAAGAAGTTTCTTACATTGTGCACTTAAGAAGAACTGGAAAGCTTTCTGAGGTCGCTGGATTAAGTCACTATGTTGAAAAGAGGCTCATGAATCAAGCAGCTCTCTGTCAAAGTTAGTTCGGGCATTGCATCTTATCTGACAAACATTAAAGTTTTTGCGGATTTACTGAGTGGTGCCTAAAAAAAAGATCTGAATAGATTGTTGTAGGTGGAGGATAAGTGTCATAGAAAAATGAAGGCAAAATGCACCTTTATCCCTCCTAGTATATGACCAGGTGCCATTTCAATTGGTGAGTTTCATTGCCCTTGAAGTAGTAGGTTGTCATATCCCAATGTATTAACATATCCTAAATATACTAACCGTTAATTGAAAATTTTTTGAATCAGTGCTCTAATAAGAAGTAACAAAAGTCCATTCTGCAGTTGTAGAAGTTTCTAGTGGCATGACCTCTTTCAGTGCTGTATGATACAATGCAGATCAACCAGTTCGTATGTTTTATTGGTTCATAAGCTAGTCTGAGAACACCACCTTTCTTTCTGTCAGGTGCCTGTACTGAATACAAAGAGCTCCTTGTTGAAGACATTTGAAGTAACTTGCTCTTAAGTTTCCCAGTCTTTAAAGATAACTTCCACTTCCTTGCCAAACTGGTTAGCTGCATCCCGTCATTTGTTGACAAATTCTTATTGTAGATTTATTGTTCTCTTTGAAAGGCGTGGTTGTACTGCACTTTGACATGCTGAAACAAAAGGTCTGTTGTCTGTTGTCTGTTGTCTGTTGTCTGTTGTCTGAAAAGGTGAATTGTGGCCAAAAGCCTATCAAAAATGCACCAGAGATAGCACCTGGAAGTGATTGATCTTATTCGATCTTCCGTCACCTTGCGATTACACGGTAAAGTGAAAACTGAGTGTTCCCAGTTTATAAAACAATTTTTCTACTAAAGGCTCTCAGGAGGATAAAGATGAAGAGTAATAATGTGTAAACGACTTGGCATGTGTTAGGAACGTCCCAATGGTATCTTTCTTCCACTTGCAAGACAATGCTCAGTTTTGCCCATGTGAAGCTGAAATACTGATAGACATCTGCATTGCATCAGGATTACTCTGCTCTAATGACTTGCTTACTGGGGTACATCCTAAGGTAATAAAATGGCTTCAGTCAGTCCAGAATTCTGCACCTCCTGCGTGAACCGAAAGTGCTCTTCCTAGTCTTTAGAGATTTTGGGTGGTCAAGGCTAGATTGAGGGTCTGGGATATTCCTTCTTATAGATATTAAGTGATAAAGATGTAAATTGTTTTAAGGTAGCATAATAAATAACTAGCACACACACCTTACTTATTGTATAGAGATATTAAGCATTACCTAAGCTTGTATTTTAAGGTAAGTAGCCTGGTAGCTATGGCTAACATTATGGAATACTTAGAGTACCGAGCACTAAATTTGGGGATGTTTTTTCCCCCCATTAAGTTGCTATTCAGTGCTTAAGAGCTGCAGTTCTGCAGTTTTTATGGCTATTTTTCATTTAGCAGCCCATTAAGTCCTAAATAAAATAACTATTTGAATTCTTATTCCAATAATTAGATCAGTCCAGGTAATTAAAATAAACAATAGCAGGTAAGCACACGAACGTCATCTTGGATGGGCTTGTGCTGTGACCCTAAGCAAGCCGATGAGACTCGTGACGATATACTAAATGTGCTTCAGCTGAATTGCACAGACGAGTGCCCTAGATCCCCCTGCCCTGGTTCCTACACGTTCATAAGTCATTAATCCTGTTCAATTGCTGATGTCAACCAGTCATCTCCCTGGGGGTAGTTTTTATTTTTCAATGCAGAACATCTCGGCTTCCCAGCGAGTCTTAGCATGTGAGCTTGGCCTGCCAGTTCTTTTTCCTTGTTCCGAAACATCTATAAAACTTTTTTCATGTCAGGGTTGGTTTTTCTGATACAGAATGTGTGCCTTCAGGGATTAAGCACCTTCCATTGGCCTTGAATTATAGTTTTAAGACTATTAAGGAGCAATTAGTTTGCTGACTACCATTTTCAGCACATCTTGGAAGTGTAAGACACAATTTAAAAAATACCTTGAAAATTGAAAGCATTAGTATCTAGCAAGCGTCTTTTTTTTTTTTCAGAACAGTCCCTTTTAAAAGCCTTATTTGAATCGATGAAGGCATTTCTGCTTCCAAAGAACTTGTTTGACAAATTCCTATGAAAGAGTTTTTTTAAATTTCCATCAGCCCTCAGGTCTTATTAATATTATTACTGTGTGCCCAGTATATACTACAGGATAAGATAAGATCACTTTATTGGCCATATACAATTTCTTGTATTAGGAATTTGTCTTTTTGCATGCCCTGACTTGCTCTCCATGAGACACACAGACACAGACGGGGAGAGAAGCTGGGGGTCAGAGCGCAGGGTCAGCCATTTATACAGCACCCCTGGAGCAGTTGGGGTTAAGGACCTTGCTCAGGGGCCCAGTTGATTAGGATTCCTCTGCAATATCCTGACTTATGCAATGTAGTTTAAAAATGCAGATGATTATATTTTATAAGAAAAGACAGGACTAGTGTTAGCGTGTCCAGTTCTGCCGGGGCATTAAAAGTGCCTAAACAGTAACCACATTCAGACTGAACTTCAAATGCATCTCTGTTTTTTGAGTGGAAGGACACAAAATGCTCTTGATTGGGGGGGAGAAGAGAAGTCTGTGTCTGCTCCCTGTTTTTAAGCAAAGAAACAGCAGCAGTGTCCCCCTGGGTGCTTATCTTCAAAGGCATTTCATCAGTGTTCTCCTGGATACCCAACTTAACAACTTAAGAACTTTATACATGTGTTCTGTATTGCCTTAGGTTTTCATTTTCTTAAGCTTTGTTTTGTTTTCAGTAAATATATTATTGTTGCCAATTATGTACAAGTATCACGGCAGGAGAGGTTTTGGATACCATTTCCCAATGAGCCAGGACTTTGTTGATAGTCAAAAGAGAACAACATGGTTTTAATTAGGAACTTTAATTAGGCAATGAGATGTGACTGGTCTGCTAAGTTTCCAGGGAAACAGTGGGAAATGAGACATACTGGGGGAATTAAACTAAGTGCTCACAACAGGACAGGGCATTAGAGAGTAGCTGCAGAATGTGACTTGAAAATGAAATAAGACTTTGCTGCGTGGTCACCCAGCAGTGTCTGTTTATGAAAATATTAGAGAGGAATGGAACAAGTAATTGGATGAACGTGGGAATGCTGGCTTGATACAAACATGGTAAAATCCCTATGCTTGCGGCCGCTAACCCCGAACATGTGCGTAATATTAAGTAGCTTTAAAATTTAGATTCCTTTTTTTCTGATGGATGACTTAGCCTCTGTGAAATATTATTCCTTTAATTTTTTTTTTCATATGTCTGGGTTTTATTTTCTTTATAAGGGTGGTTTACGAATACCGGGGAAGTGCTGTCATCTCATTGGAACTTTGGCCTTAACTGTTGTTAAACGGTTCCATGCAAGTCATGTCTGAAGGAAAATACTTCTGCCAGTTTTACTAGTGAGAGTTCAGAAAAGACATGTTTGAAGAGGATATATCATTTTTATGATTTATTTGTATGTCATCACAGACTCTTGTTTGCTCTTGAAATATCAGTTTTATCTATAAGTCATAGGGCTCCAGTTATTCGGGGTTTTGCGAAATGGGAAAATGTTTATATGAGCTGCTTTGTGCCTGACAGAAACTTGATGAACCTGATGTTAAAATGACCTTGTAGGGCGAACCCTTGCAACCGCATGCATTTGCCCAAGAGTTTAACCAGAGCTGAAGGCTGTGCTCTTGAACTCCAAGCAAGAAAAGAAAATATAATGGGATACAGATATCAGACTTCATATGCATGCATGCATCTGTATTCACACATGTATGTCTGCATAAATTGTACATATATAAGCAGTTTTCAGTCTGTTCTCCATCGATTTTAAAGAGGTTTTGCAGTCTTCATTCATAGATAAAAGAAGCTGAAGGAAAAAAAAAAACTAAATGAAAACCGAGTAGGCAGAAACAAAGTTCAAGACCAAACTGAAGCGGAATCGAATCGTCGAAGAGAAACCCCAAAGCCTGTTACAAGCAAAACTGGCAAAATATCTGGTTTGTGAGATACATGTCCGTGCTAGATCTGTTGTTGTAAATATTGTTATAAAATGTTTAAACTTAAGTTACATGAACCACAAGGAGTATCCTTTGGGTTTCTGTGTTAGATTGAATTCGAAAAGCGAAGGTGTTTGAAATGCAAATTAAAAAGTAAAAGGAAACGAATCCTTGCACTGCCACTAGATGGTGCTTGTGAATCGTTTACCTGTGCTAAAATGGACATCTCGGGCTCCAGCATGGATCTTTCACTGCTCCATTGCTATGGAATGAGAGACAAATGGTTTCATTCTCTTCAAATCTGAATTTAAAACTCACCTTTTAACTAGGGTCACTGTCTTATTACCGTTTATTCTGTTTTTTTTTAATTTTATTCTTCTCCATTGTATTGTTTTGTTCTTCCTTTACCACTACGTACAGTGTCGTTGGGTTGGGAAAGGCACTTTATAAGTAGAATTTGTAGTTGTTGTTACTATTATAATTGAAGGGATTGATAGATGGTTTGTTTAATTTGTTGTTGTTGAAGTAGATTAATTTACACTAATCTGCATCAGTTTACCTCTGCAGGGATGTAGTTATATTTTCCATCTAAAATGTTTTGTATCGTTTCTCTTGCAGTCTTCACGATGGTTTCATTTTCTCGGGTAGTTTCTTGTTCAGGTGGGTGGAATACCTTCTGAAGGAAGTTGTTGCAAAACCCTCGATATGCTGTACTTTATGGTGCAGTTTGAAGGTGATACAGCAGATAATTCTACAGAGGTCCTAAGGATTTCAGATCAGCTCTACAAATGCAGAGCTTGTCGAGCTTTCCTGGTTTGCCAGCCACTTCGGGGCTGAAGTGTGTGTGTGTGTTCATCGTCAGTGGTGCTTCCTGTCGGGGCTATCTGCTGAAAAGGCCCCATTATCATTCTTGAACACGAGCAGTGTTGCTTCCTCTAACCTGCTTCCTGCAGGGCCCTGCTCGCCACCTGAAGAGTTGCCCAGCAGGATGCAACAACACACAGGGCTGGCCTTGTGAAAGGGTGGGGTACAATGCACTGTCTCCACAGCAAGAGAGCGCAGCTTGTGAACTATCTCTGTATGGAATTCGTCGACTTTAAAGACAACACCACAATTCCATTTCTGCCTGGTCTATGTGGTCACAAAGAGGCTTAGATTCCAAGGTTTTCTCCACAGACTTCTGAAAGTGTTACGTAATTCTAGAGTCAAGAAGTAGTTCGAGGAGGTGGCTGCGTCAGCAGTCGTGGGCTGCAAAGGAACGGCTGTGAAGCCTTTGGCGGGTCCACTGCCAAAGACGACACCCGAACTGTGAGGAAAAGAGAACCCTGTGCCATGCTAGCTGTGCCAACTCACACCACGTCCAATTCAGTGATGCAGAACTTGGTGTTGTAGAAATACAGGTTCATGCACGGATAAAGCAAATGCATACAGTAGGCAGCGGTAAACTGCTAGGGTTTCTTGGCATGTTTCTCTTTTGGAAACGGAGCGTGTAATGCCTGCATGGACAGGAGCAAAACCAGAAACTTTGAATCTGTCTCAGATTTACTGTTTGATGCAGTCCAGTGCCTTTTCCCATGTAACTGGAGTTTTGACCATTAGAGGAGATTATAACCCTTGCGAAATAACACTGATCTTTTATGCACACAGTATTTTTTTTAATTCTTAATCCTTTCCAATTCCTGCATTTACCAGAAGTGGGGCGTCAGAACCGCAGTGTTTATTTTTTGATGATGACATTAATTAGTGCTAGTTTGTGGTTTAAAGTTAAACGCTGAAAGCAATTTCTAACTTTTTTGGCCTACCGCTCACAGTTCTAGGAATCTGAAACTTATAGAGCCGAGGTCAAAATTCATCCATCCAGATTTAGTCTGTGAGGGTCATGGCTGAGGCAGTGTCATGTTTGTCAAAGCTGGTTACCAAGTGAGAAAGGTCTTAAGGTTAACCCTACTTGGGGGTGACTTTATATCTGCTGTAAATACCACTTAAGAACAATATAAGATCTGTGCTTATTTTAAAATAAACTCGCCACATGATTGCACACCCACCACTAGGGTGTTTGCAAGAGCTGGTTTTATGTGTAGTGTAAGTAAGAACAGCTGTGGTTCTTCAGTACTCGAAGATGTTGTTTTGCACCTTGAAGTTTACAATTGATTTGTTTAATAGTATGATGCACATAAATGAATAGCACACCACGGTTTAAATTATTTATTGAACAAGCTACAAACATGTCTTGTTTAGTTTCAGTACAAGTACACAGTGAGTAATGGCTGACGTGCACAAAATTGGTATCCTGGTACCGTTAAAAAAACAAAACACAACATACAAATAGGGCCGGTATTGACTCTTCCCTTCGTTCCACAGTCGGAAATAGAAACCGTTGAAATCAGTGTGTTTTGGGCCTCTCCCGTTTTAGAGACGCAAAGGACTGAGTTTTTGCATTTTACTCCACGTGTTTGATAATTCCAACGTTTCAGTCTTCACAGTTTGGCAGGGGAGTGCATTGCCTGCCGGTATGCTCCATTTGTTAGGTGTCACTTGCTATCTGTACTTCATTCTTCCAATCTGTCTCCGCTCTGCTGCTTGTCAGTACCTTGTAGGAGAGTTTAAATATCTGAAGACGCTATTTGTAATGCTACATTGTCATTTGAGTATAAGACTGCTCTCACATTGCTAATGTATTTTAACACCTTTTGTTTAGTTATCAAAAAGGATCACTTAACAGTACTGTCTATATGATGCCAATAGAGTCATAGTTTCTTAACACATACAATAGATATTATTAGCATGTATCATGAGTATGATTGCTAGTTATCTGTATATATTAAAACTATGATTAATGTAGACACAATTGGTGGAAATTTCATCCTGGCATTTTACAACTCCAAAATGGAAGTTCAAAGTGTTATCTTTCTTTTTGCATCATTCATTGTGATGTTTTTTTTGAAGCACAAATGGGTTTCTTAAAGCTTCTTTCGTACTCAGCATGAATACGAAGGTTCAGAGTTCACACTGATGAGTTTACTACCATATACCGTCCAAGCATGAGTCTCCTACGGTGCAGAGCTCAACGCCTTAGTCGTGGATCAACACAAATTCAAAGTAGTGTTTAGCAGGTCTGAGCTCCTCTTTGTATATCTGAAGTTTGCACCAGATACCAATTTATAGGGCAAACGAAAACAACATTTCTACTTGAACAAGGAATTGTAAAACTATAAAAGAAATAACCAAACAACGTGACTCACACGAAGCACCTGACTCACACGAAGCACCAACAGGCTGTTAAATACCTGAGGTAGTGCAAACTATAGAGCAGCTGATATCTAGAAGACAACAGAAAGCCTCAGAACACATATCTTACTGCTACCCTACTGAAATTGTGCAGTAAACGGCAAGCAATAATTAGATTTCTTCAGCTTAGTGACTCAAGTTTACTCCAATTTAACAGTCTCATCAACTTTTTTTTTAAATACAACCATACAGTTCAGCCATAAAATACAATGAAATATATTCCTTACAGCACATTTCAAACGCATGAATAACAATACCTCGCACAAAAGGCTATAAGATACTCAAATCTACACACATGTTCACGTGCACACACACAAAATTGTGTAACCTATTTTTTTTCCCTTCTTTCATTCGCTTATACTAGAGAATTTTTTGCATGATGCTACATTTCTGGGGTTTGGAATAAGGATTTTAGCCTCATACATATCTGGTAAACATGTTTCCAGTTTCTTATGCTTATCTAGGAGGACGTTTTATTAAGAAAAAAAAAGCCCTGCGCTTGTATTTTCTTTTTCTGATGCTCTGTAAAGTACAGTATTAAATTGTGTTTCCTTAAACTTGGGCTCACAGTGATGGTATTTGGTTTGTTTTTCAGTGCAGTAAGACACAGAGTGTACATTTACATTCTGAGGTTGTCTCATCGGTTGGCACAGTCCATCCTCACTGGGTTTCACACAGGCACCGCAAGACAATCAGACCCTCAGCAGCCCTCTCTGGATGAGCAGCTGTGAGCGATGACACAGGCTCAGCCTCATAATTAACAGGACCTTCAGAGAAAAACCACCAGGATTTGGGGATTCACTGGTGCTGAAGTTTGTCTAAAATAAGACCTACTTGAGCATGTCCGCCTGTATGGCTGGCAACTGTAACAAGTGAGGATTTCATTCCTTTCTGATTTGATCTTATCTTGTATCTTAGATTTTTTTTTAATCATGCACTGTATCAAAAGAAAAAAACATAGGACACTCTTTTGCGATAAAGTTGGCATACATAATAGAAATGAAACTTAAGTACTGTCGCTCATAACTAGAAGCATAGCCAATCCCAGTTAAAACTGTCATGGATAATAGATCATGAGCAATGTGGGGCTGTACCAGATATTTAAGTGTTGTTTCAATCACAGTGAAGGCTGGAAAAATAAATTTAAATCTTAAATCTGTGCCTTAGAACATTTTTTTGTTACTAACATTTTTTTTACATTCTCAATTTGCCTGTAAATGATTTACTCGTAAATAATTGTAAAAATGAAATAAGTATTATGGTAATCACTATAAATTGGTAGTTTAATAGGAGGTTCTTAAACAAAATGTTACATTTATATAATTAGTTCTTCTCTTAGTTCATGGCCCCAGATTTCACCCAACTTCAACAATCTTTCAAAATGCCTGGACTTTATATCTTATTATAAAGAAATGTGGAATAGACTATAGGATTCTACAACTTTAAAAAAACATTTTTAGCCTTCGATGATAGATGTTATCCTTCATTTAGATCCTGCAGAATTTTTTGATTGCATTGTTTAATGTGACTTCATAAGAAAAGGCTATCGGCAAACCATACCATACTACTGTATATATTTGCACCATCATTGACATTTCTAGGGCTAGTACAAGTGGGGAAAAAAAGCCTCGACTCTGCAGTTTGCGTAATTCACGTGACTTGTCAGCTGTATAGTCTGTTGAGCTTGTTTCACGTCTGTTGTTGAGAGATTAACGGAACTCACACACACACAATGTCCCGCTAGACCAAACTGACAAGAGACGGGCTCAGTCCTGGTGGTAGAAATTGTTCAGTCTCTGATGCACAACTAAATCCAGCTACTATGCTGTTCTCACATCGAACCTTCTGATCCTTCTGTTCACACTGGAGCTTCACCCTAAAGTTCTCAGGCTTTTCTTCACCTGACTTTCCAGAGAAAAGGGAGCACCTTCTCAAAGTCTCTCCACCCTCCAATGAAACCTCGCCTTGCTTCCAGGAGCCCCATCAACCACGCGGTAGGTGACTATACCGTATTGAGTTTTCTGGATGTGAAGTATGGGTGCTGTGTTGGGACAAGCTTTCAAATGTATGGTATTAACTCATACTTGCCAAAGTAGGCAACCAGATGTGGGGTAACTTAAAAACTGAGGGGAACCTACTTGAGTTAGTCACCTGAAATCACCTCTCACAGTAGTGTAGCATAAAGCCCTGGGAGACACTCTTTTCTGTCAGTACCCAAGGCTCCAATTCCAGCTTGTCCTCCTCTTCCTCCTCGTCCTCCTCCTCTTCTTCTTCTTCTTCATAGTGACTGGCCTCCTCGATGGAGGTTTCCATGTGGTAGTCATAGGGCTGGCCCTCGGTGTACTCGTAGATGGTGGGCAAGCTACTCTTGAGACTGCAGCGTCTGCGCAGGGCTACCAGCAGGGGCTGGGGCATGGTGAATATGTCCACGTTGTTGCCCATGTCGATCCAGGCCAGGCTGGGGAACTTCTTGGGTTCCTTCATGGTCTCGGTCAGGTCTTTGACGATGGCAGTGGTCAGGCGATTGCCATTCAGCGCCAGGTTGGTGAGCTTGGGCAGGGAGCCCAGGAAGGGCAGCAGGAGGCGGAGGTTCTCGTCATGCAGCTCGGTAAAGCTCAGATCGACTGAGGCCACAGCGTCTCCGTTGTTTTGGAGGTAGTACGCCACCCGGTGGACGTCTCTGCTCGAAAGGGGAATGCCGGACAGATCGACCGAGTCATTGGAGAGCTTCTTCTGCAAGGTGGTTTTCAGACTGAAAATTGGAAAACAAAACAAGGGAGTGTGAGATGTCATGCAAGTCGAATGAGCTTTGATTTTGTCTTTGAGCCTCCAGAACAGGAGTTTTCTCTTTCTCAAATGCATAGGTTGCTGTACAACAGGTTTTTGCCCTGAGTCTTGTAGATGCAACAGGACAGTAACTAGAAAATCGGAACTGGGTGACAGAAAGTCAGCAAGATGTCCAAGTGTTTGATAAATAATAGCGTCTGAGGTCTGTCGACTGGGTTTTAATCTGTTTTTATTTGGGTATCATTCCCCTTAGTCTGGAGCACTTCCAATGTTTCATACTGCCAAGTCTTGTTTAGTAATGAAGGAAACGCTATTTGTACTACTGAAAACAAAGTCTTGAACTCACTGGGTCTTGGGAGAATGGTCACACTGTGTGAAGCTGCAATGGACATGTGCTCAGATTACTGATAAAATGATAAAAGTAGTAATTGTTTGAAACCCCAGTGGCAGGGAAACAGGATTGTTTTGATTTCTGTAACCATTATGCAAACACGAATACATATTTTCCATTCATTTCTGTGTAACAGAAAGATCACATGACTTTTTAAGGGTAGGTTAAGACATGTATCACATCACCACTAACTTTTCAAATAGGAAAATTCAAACACGTTAACTGGCTACAGCTCAGAACAGTTTGCTCCTTTTTCTTGAGTTTCCAGAAACTAAATTCCTTCTATGGAGTGTCACCACCTATGCAGGAGTCTTCAAGGTGCGCAGAGGTGAGAACAATGTAAACCCCTCACTTCTCAGCTCATTGCTGATTGGAGTAGATGACAAAACCCCATGCCTAAAGGTACCAGGGAAACTGCAGGGGTCTCTGAGTCACTTAGTCAAGAGATTCCTGCCTAACTAACTTTACCCTACTCTCAGCAGCGCTCAGTCAATTGTGCATCACCACCGGTGGAGTTACAGTCTCGGTCAGCTAGTGACATGACCCAGACTTGAACCTGTAATCGCAGAGGTTGACTTGGGTGAGCACCTTTACTGACTATGCCATGCTGGAGGCCTAACATAGGCACTATCATAATTAGGAACAAGTAATAGGTTTATTCCATGCTGAAAAAAAAGAAGAAAGAGAACACAACGTTTCGGCCGTGGAGCCTTCTTCAGGTGTGATTTTGATAGGAGGCTGTTTAATAATTTTTTCTGTCTCCATTGAAAACATTGAAAAATATAAAGCAGCTCTGCTGTTGCACTCTAAGCTTATTTTTGGAAAGAAAAGCAGAAATATCAAAAGGCCTAATATAGTAACTAACCTTGAGTCTCCTTCCAGGAGGGTGTTTTTCTTAGTTTTATTCTCTCTCAGTATGTGAGAACACTTGACTTGGCACTGTTCTCCAAAGGCAGATGAACACAATGACCTGCTCTTGACTCATCTATCACACCACATCAAATAAAACAACCTGGAATTGAACCAAGCTGGAGGGATAAGCGCAGCTCAGTACCCTGCTAGGATCTGATTGCAGCTGCTGAGGCTGCCCTCAGAACCACACAGCCCCATTCCCCAGGCAGTGGTGAGTTACACTGCGCTAGCAGACCTGTGGGTGGCGAGATATGCCAAGCCAGAAACCAGGTCTCCTGTCTTGGGAGAATTCAGCACTGTCTAGGGGCCAGAGAGGTGATATCAGCTTCTCTTCAGGCTCTGCACCACAGATCCGTGTCACACTCTCCCCTGATAAAGTCACCTCAGTAACTGATTAGGCTTAGTAACATCAGTTCAGGAGTTCAGATAACCCCTAATGAATGCAAGAGAGAGGGAAATAGGTATAAAATATTTGTTGGGGCTCTCCTAGCTAAGGGAATGGCAGTCTCTCCTGTCTCTCCGGCCCATCCCCCAGTTGTGAGGAGTAAGCTAGCAGTTTGCTACAGGGTGTAAATGGGGGGAGTTTTGTGAATGGGATACGTGTGAGCAAATCCCGGATGCAAGTCTTCCAATTGCCTACGTATACAAGATTAGGATTTAACCTTCCTGCCAAGTTTCTTTATTATAATTTGTTATAATTCCATTAACGGCACCAACGTGACAAGTGCAGCTGTCTGCCCACCAGACCGTGGTCGTGGTGGACTTCTGTCCTTGGAGCCAGCCAGCGGAGATTCTTGCCACACCGAGAGAGTGGGTCTCCAGCAGCAGGGGGTCTGAATGTGATCCGGGAACCAGGGGATTGAGTACCAGTGTCACTGGTTCACATCTCGGGAATCTCAGGGGCCGCGGTATGAAGTGCCTGTTGTTCAGTGAGTCTTTAGGTTTTTGATTAGAGGTCACTAACAGCTGACACCCGAAAGAAAGCAAGTGCCTTGTTCATCAATCACACGGAAGGAAAAAGGCCACTTAGGGCAGATACCTAATATCAGCGTTGTAGACTAGCAATACGTCAGCAGAGCTGGACAGGAAATATCATGATAGATTGCAGTTTGATTTACAAACAAGATAACAGTGACCGGGACTGAAAGAAAATCATAAGAGTGAGGAAAAATTCATAAAGGGGTGACTAGTTAAAACCTCTAGAGACTCTAGTCACAGTTTTCAATTTTTTGTGTACAATTTTTTGTTTTTTTCCCCCAATACGTAGTTTATTGTGCAGAGATACTGCAACCTATAACTTGTTAAAAAGGTAATTACACCGTACATTTTTCCCTACTGTATCTTATTGCATTTCATACTGCTTGTCTCTGTAATTAATGCCTGAAGGGAAGAACAACAAAAACAAGCAATAACCAGACTAACACTGAATTCTCAAAACTAACATCTCACACCGTGATGGCTGCAAGGTGTTTTCTGCTCTATGTTTATTTCTCTCCTTCTTTGAAGATCATTTCAGACATTGAGTGGGACAGCCTGAAAAGTTTTAACATCAAACAGACATTATTATTTTACAGCAAAATCCATTGGGGTTTGCCTGATAATTGCCTGAATTCACACTTCCTCCTGCCCCAAAACTACAGCAGTTTACAGCAACCTCATAAATCCCATCCTTGTGGTCATTTTACCTGCCACTGGCTGCTCTCTTCCTCTACCAGGAAAGTGCCTTTAGGTCACTGGTGCCAAGATTTATAATGCTATTGATTTTTAGGAGTGGGCCTCCATTAATGCCCTCTGTCACAGCCAGCCTCTAGGTAGAGCTTTGGTTTTCTTATAATATTTAGATTTTCTACTGCGCTCCACAAACATTTGCTGCTGCTTTCTACATGGTCTGGATTTTTTTTTACAGTTAATCCAACCACCACGTTTGCTACTGAAAGCACAAACTGGCATATGTCTGAAAGGAATATTAGACAATGAGCCAACGCAAATATCAATCATTGACGATTAAATTGCTTGGGGGAAAATGACAGTTCCATAATACATGCAAATGCATAATAAGATCTGAAGTAGGAAAAAAAAGCATTTCGGGACCTCTAGCTGTGCATATTATTACATCGTGTGTAAATGAAGGAATATTACCGGGCAAAGACAAAAAATCAGTGTGTACCAGCTACTGAGCCACTTTTAAAAGAGAAATTTAAAGACTCCATGTGAGTTGCACAGTAAGTAGTAGCACGTGTTAAAAGACATGTAGCCTCTGCATATTTTTCAGAAAAATGTGTAAAATACATTCTTGGCAATTTTCAGAAATTTCAATCTACTGTCAATACGTTTGGCCCGAAATGGTGCGTGGTGTTGAAAGCACCGGCAATTTACTGACTTGCTTCCTCTCCCTGCAATGCAATCTCTCTTCCCCTCTCAGCTGATCCGGAATTCACTTCATCACTGCTCGCTGACACACGTCGCCTTCGACCTCTTCCACTCCCACCCAGCTCGCCTTGTGTGATCGATACTGTATGTGCTTGCACTTAAGCTCAGGGTCTCTCTGTGCTTTCGCGGCCAGTAACATGACTGTGAGATCAATGCCGTCTGGAGCCACATGTCTGGAGCTCAGGGCATTTCCTGGATGTTCACTTTTGATAGATACTTATGCAGATGGAGGAGGCTTCTCTGTTCTGCTTCATCAAGTACAGTGGAGCTATTTATACTTTCAGTACCGCAAGCAGGCACCTTATCCTTCTGTTTCCCCACAGCCAGCTCTGCTGTTCCCTGTCCAGTTACCTTTTCTCATACACCTCTCCAGATGGGAGGAAAATGACTCCTCAGAACCTAGCTAGCTCTAACTACCCCTTCATAAGGCACATGCAGGGCCCAGCAAGTTCCCACACTGTACAGATATACTGTACTCTTTTACAAGGATTCTTAGGCCTTGTAACCTCACTGGCTTTCCTGCATGGCAGGAGACACAGGAGGATGGTGTGGAGATTTGCAGAGACGCACAAACACGACCAGCCAGGTTTCCTGGCCTTCGGTATTCTTGACCGCTGCAGCATCAACTCAAAAATGGCAGCAGAACCAAATCACAGCCTTAAGCTGCTGGATCACAACTCGATGTTTTATAGCAAAGGGGGGATTTGTAAGATTGATCACATATTTAAACTCTATTTTTCAAACCCAACAGAAACGCCCAAATAATAATAAAGACTTTTAGTTGAAAGAGAGAATTATGCTGTCCAGTTAAATAGAGTTCATTATACCACAACTGTATAGATCCTGCAGTGTCCTCTCCACTGTCTCCTCCCAGCACTGAAAGCACCAGGAAAGACACTAAAAGTCTCTACTACGATGGTAAAAACGGACTCATCTCCAAGTCACATTTTACTGTGGTTTCTATTTGCTATTGCTATCACAGTGTCCCCAGCTCCATGGTGGATGAGTCTGGTAATAATATCAGATATCTGTAATGTTTTCCATAGAAGCAAGTTGTTTGATTTTTTTTATGTTTTTGACAGTTTCTTGAATCTTATTATTTTTCTGAGAAATGAAATTGAATTGTTTCCGTTATTGAAATTCTTTAAAAAATATTTTAAAATTCCATCTGGTGAGAGCTGAGAACGGATATAACTAGTTGAACTACAAAGTCAAGCTGTGAACTTCCTCAG